TGGCGGGCAGGAACACATATTCTTTACGAATTGGGGGCGGGAAGCAAAGAATAGACATGACATGCATCTTGGACCCTTTTGTTATCTTCTCATCGCTAGAGACACATAGCAACTTTTGGGTGCTGGTGGCAGGGAGGCAAACGTCGGAGTTTCGACAGGTTGGCAAAGAGAGTTTGAATTTCAACATAAGCAGAAAAAACGACATTCTGCACAGAAAAGATTCGCTCGAGTTTTATGCTCGGCACCGATGTCTGCCTGTTGAGAAATTTAGGACGGTTATCCATGTGTCTTGGTATCATATTCAGGCCATCACCTATACTCGAGATGACTCTGTTTTCTCCTCCCCTCGATGTACATTCATATATCTGGCCCCCCTTCCGTGTAATATTCTATCACACGCCAGCCATATCGATATCTTCTTCCTGCTTTATCGGCGGTTCCGTGCCATTTACATTGGCGACTTCATCTCCTCCGACCTCCTCACCAATCGCGTGACCATTCGTCAGCGTCTTCTCCGCCCCATCGGTTTCCGTACCGGCAATAGCGGCGGCGGCAGCGGCCACGGCACCAATCTCCCCTTCACCCAACAACCTCTTAAAGATGCGTATCCGTCCATCCTGCCCCGCCGACACCATGACGTCCCCATGGACATCGACCCAGAAACACACGTTGCCACCCTTGCCGCCTCCCCGGTGCGAAGAAGAATCCTTCTTGTGGGCGGGGATGCGCTGAACAACCTCTTTAGTGACGACGTCCCATAGCACAATCTCGCCGTCCTCGCTGGCCGAGGCGATGAAGGCGCCCTCGCCGGGGACGATGCCGAAGCAGCCGCCGATGGCGAAGCGGTTGTTGGCGTGGCCTTGGTACGTCTTTTTCACGGAGCCGGCAACGTAGTCCCAGAGGCGGATGCTGTTGTCGAGGTTAAAGGCAAGGACGAAGCGGCCGTTGGGTGCGAAGCAGACGGACGTTACGGCGGGGTTGTCTTCGTGGACTAGGGTGCGGAGGCACTGGCCTGTGTAAGTGTCCCATATACGACTGTTGTTCGGAGTTAGTAAAGGATCCCAACCAAGTAGAGACGGGGGTAGTCTTGGCCATACGTACATGAGACCGTCCGTCGAACAACTCACGACCAACGTGCCGTCGCATGAAAAGTCGATGCCGCTGACTGGGTCGCTGTGCGCCGGTAAACTACGCATCAAGCGGCCCGCCCTGACATCCCACAAAAAGACGGCCTCGTCGTACGATCCCGAGGCGAGTATGTTTCCCTTGGGCGAGAAGGCGAGACACATCACGTAGTTGTGGTGTCCCCGCAGCGGCAACATGGGATGCGCGGCGGGCGCCGCGTCGTCCTTGGCCATGTGACCCACGCCCTTTGCCGTGACCTTTGGCCGGCCCGTCACCCGGTCCCAGATGCGAATCGACTTGTCGTCGGAGCCCGTCGCCAGGCTCCCGCTGTTGGGGCTCCACGCCACGCAGTTCACGCCGGCCATGTGGCCCACCAGGGTGTCCATGTGTTCCCCCGTGGCCGCGTCCCACGTCTTGACGGTCCCGTCGGCCGAGGCGCTCGCGATCCACCGGCCGTCGGGCGATATCCGCACCTGCGAGACGGGCGCTCCCGCGTGTCCGCTCAGCACCCTTTCCTCCTCGTACCGCGGCCTCACGGGGCCCTTCTTTACGGGCCCGGGTGTCACGGGCGTCGTCACTGTCGCGCCGGTATCTGCGCCGCCGTTGGTCGAGGAGAGCCGTAGCCTGCGGTCGACGGCGCCTGAGAGACTGCCGCCCGATGTAGAAGCAGGCGACCTTGATCCCGCGCGTGACTCATCCTCGTCATCGTCGTCGTCGTCGCTACGTGAGCGGGAGGGTGAGGCGGTCGCCGACCTTGGTGTGCGAGATCGCGACCGCGACCTCGAGTGCGACCGTGATCGAGATTTGGAGTGCGATGAGCGCGAGTAGAATGCCGCCTCGTTGAGCTCATCCTCGCTAGGAGACCTGCTAGGTGTCATGCTAGGACGGCCACGGTTGGTTGACAGGCGGCGGGATGTGCTGGACCGCTGCTTCTTCGTTCTCGTTGTCGTCGCGGTGGTTTTCTTGGCGGCTGCGGCTGCCGTGGTGGTCGTAACTGTCGTGTCGTTGAGCTCATCTGGTGAACTTGATCGCGGTGTCGCGGATGTGCTGTGTGCGACGACTTTGCGACGTTTTGGAGGGGGTTCGGGAAGAGGCGTCGCTGCTGCTGAGGAGCCGAGGTCTGACATTTTTTCGCGTTATGTTTGGGTATGGAGGCACGAGTATATGAGACGGACTCCCAGCTCCCTTTTGTGTTGGTCAAGGAGGCTGTTCATTCGATGGCGGGCGGGGTGGTGGGAAATAATAGCAATTTATGCCCAGGAAAGTCAAAGGCAAGGCTGAATGAACGGACGGCAAGAATGATCAGCAACTTTTGGCGCGTTGAAAAGAAGCAGGGGTTGCTTGACTGACGTTTAGCGGTTGCTTTCCAGCCTCGTCCCCACTGCACAGGTCATTCTGGGGTCAAGCTCTCCCCCTGATAGTGTGTGGGACCACTAAGATAAGAATCCGCTGCTGCCATTTTCGTACCGATTGGCCAATGGCAGAGTGTATGGAGCCTCGTCCGGCCAAGCATCTGTAAGAGTGGGTCGTTCTCTCGTGGACAACCCCCGGCCTGCCGGCAAACGCAAACGGGACGGCTCCAGGAAGTCGAGAAAGGGAAAAAAAGAAAACCGAACGCAACGTCACCAAAAGTCCAAGCGTCCGTTGTAGTGACCTTTTCATCCCATCTCGCAAGAGCCCCGCGATCCGACCTCACCTTTGACGGTAATGCGACTTCATTCTCACATTTTTTTTTTGCAAATGCCATAGCGCCAGCCCAGTTAACTACCTATCATTACAACTGCTGTAGAGTTTGAATCCTACTCTCACACTCCACTTCGGAAGCTTCGGCGTAATCACATACAACTGCCGACCTATCTTGTTGCAGCTCGCTGTCGTCTTACACGCGTTCGACGCTTCTCTTGATCCAATATCTCTTCCCGATTCAAGCCATCTTATTCTTTACCTTTTTCCGCATTCTCCTCAGTGGTCTTCCTATTTCTTCTCCCACATCTTCCCCCATCTCTATAAAACATAATCTCCAGATTCTTCACCTCGTCATCTCAAGACAGCCAACAACATAAACCAACACAATATGGACGACCCTCTCCCAAAGGACCTCCGCCTACTAACACTCAACTGCTGGGGCCTAAAATACATCTCCAAGCTCCGCCCCCAACGCCTCGCAGAAATCGGCCGCCGCATCGCCGCCCTCCCGGACCCGCCCCACGTCGTCGCCCTCCAAGAGTGCTGGGTCACCTCCGACTACGACGCCATCCGCGCCGAGACCGCCGCCGTCCTGCCCCACGGCAAGTTCTACTACTCGGGCCCCTTTGGCGGCGGCCTCGCCGTCCTATCCCGCTGGCCCATCGACGAGAGCTCCATGCGCGCGTACCCCCTCAACGGCAGACCCACGGCCTTTTGGCGAGGCGACTGGTACGTCGGCAAGGGCATCGCCTGCGCCCGCATCCCCGTCCGCCTCGCCGGCGCAGACGGCGGCCCCGGCAGAGACCACGTCCTGAGCATCTTCAACACCCACACACACGCGCCCTACACCGAAAACCAACCGGGCGACACCTACCTCGCCCACCGCCTCGCCCAGTCCTGGGAAATGTCCAAACTCCTCCGCGCCGCAACCCAGCGCGGCGACCTCGCCCTCGCCATGGGCGACTTCAACATGCGGCCCCTATCCCTCCCGCACCGCATCATCACAGCCCACGCACCCGTCCACGACGTCTGGCGCGTCCTCCACCCAGACTCGTCTCTCGGCGCCGCAGACGATCCCTTGGAAAAAGCCCGCGGTAGACCCGTCCCCTCGGCCGACTTCAACCTCGTCGAGAACGGCGCCACCTCGGACCACGTCTACAACACCTGGCGCTGGTCCAAGGAGCAGCAGAAGAAGCTTGGCGAGGGGAAAGAACCCATCGTCGTACCGCCAGACACGCCCGACAGAAAGGGGAAACGCCTGGACTACATCTTCTTCGGCTCCGGTAGAGGAGGTGGTGGTGGTGGTGACGACGATGGCAGCGGCGACTGGGTCGTCCGCAGCGCCAAAGTCGGCATGGTCGAGCCGCATCCCACCCTCGGCTGCTCCCTAAGCGACCACTTCGCCGTCGAGGCAACGCTGGCATACCAGACACCACACCATCGCCACCAAGGCCTCGATGCAACGGAAAACGATAACGAGACGTCCTACCTCCAGGACGCCTCAGCCAGCTCCCACCGCGACTCCTTCACGTCCGAGAACCCCCCTATTTCCGAAGTGCCAGGCAAAGGTCTTCCGGCGCCAGTCTACGACGAGATTCTCTCTGTGACACGTCAGTACATCCACCGGGAAGAGAATCAACGGCGCTGGCGGGGATTACACTTTTTGGCATGGTTTGCCGTCCTGATAGCGTGCCTTATAGCTGTGTGGTTCAGCCCACACAACTTTGTTGCCTTTGTTCTCATGCTCCTGAGCAGTCTCGGACTGGTTGCTGGTGTTGTTGACGGTCTCATGTCACTCCTCTTCTTCAACTCAGAACTCAGAGCCTTGAAGGAGTTTGAATGGGAAATCACAAACGCCAAAAGGCATGCGCGAGGTTCTGTTTCAGAGGAGACAGTAAAGAGAGAAAAGTCTTTCTAAGAACCCGAATGACTATTGTCCTGCCTAGTATAATAATACCCCAGACTCTAGGCTTAGTTGACGGTGCCTCCACAGCATGTTACACGCGCCAGAGGAGAGGCTGATATGTAATGAAGAATAATGTCTATTCATACTTGGCGTTGCTCTTTCCTTCTCATAATGGCGCAACACACCTTGTACGTGTAACCAGCCCATACTTCCATCAGTAGCTGCTTCAATCTTGCCCCTCTGCCCAACGTCTCCTCGACTGACAACGCATTCCTCCCCTTGTTCAAGAATTTGTAGGGTAGACTGTTCCAACAGGCCTGCGACTGGCCATGTCTTTGCGTCGCCACGAATAACCTAGAAAAGCTGTTCGCTTCCTCATCTGAAGAACTTCCTCCTTGACCCAACGGTCCCGCAGTAACTTGTCTCTTGGGCGCTTGCATTCTTTTCGTCCGACTCTTCTGACGTACCATTTGAGAAAGGCCTTTTCAACATCTTCCAGAAAGGCATGATCGTCCATATCGCGATCGAATCGTTTCAACTTGGATGAATCGTAGGGTTTGGAGATGAACTCAGTGGCCAGACACCTCACATCGTCTTCAAAGTCGTACTGTAGAAACCTTAGACGGAGATCGTCCAGGTTCTCCGACCCCTCCGCTATCTCGGAATCCATTGAGTCAGACCAGTCGCTGATCGGCTCATCTTCCTCAAAGTAGTGAGAGTCGGCGTAGCTTTGAATATGTGGTATCCACTCTGGCCGACTGGAGCGTATTGCTTCCCAAGGAACGCCCCGAAACCACGGGTGGGCCTTGATCTCGGATGCGTCGTTATTGAAAACGTATTGACTCGGTATTTTTTTGTAGCCCTGAAGCTTCTCCCAACTTCGTCGAGCATCTTGGTTGCGATACTCGGGTGATGAGAGACGGCTGTCTTTGTCCTGAAGCAGATCGTTGATCAATTGCCGGCATACTCTCGAGACTGGAGGCCCGTCAATAGGAAACACCAAGCTTTTCCGATATTCCTGCTCTCACAATCAGAGAAATCTACAATGGGAAGTTCTGTCCAAACTTACGAGGATGTTCTGCTTGGTATAGTGACGACCCTTCTCCGAGAGAAACGGCGTGTGCCCATATAGGCACTCGTAAAGGATGATTCCGATACTCCACTAGTCGCACCTACCATCATACTTCTCTCCCATGACCACCTCTGGAGCCATATACTGGCTTGTGCCAACAATGGAGCGGGCCGAGGATCGGCGTGTCTCTGCTGTTCGCCAACCAAGCAGCTGGTCGACTTTTACAATCTCGTCTGCGTTTGTTTCGACGACATTGAACGGACATTCAAGCCCATCAAACTTGGTTCGGAGCAATTCTGACGGGGGATAGTGCTTGGATGACCCTTCCTGAGATGATCGTCGCCTCGCCCGTCCACCATCGCGGGCGGCTTTTTGATCCTCGCCATCACCGTCTAGCGTAACACCTGTCAGGGCCAGAATTGACTGTCGCTGCCACTTGTAGTAGGAGGTGTCATGGGACCAATGGTCGTCAAAAGCCAGCCCGAAATCCGAGATTTTCAGGTGACCGTCGGCACCGATGAGGAAGTTGTCTGGTTTGACATCTCGGTGGATGCATCCAAGTCTGTGGGCCTCTTCGACGCAAAGTATCATCTCGGCGATGTAGAATCGAGTTCTGGACTCGGTCAAGATGTTTTCGCGAATCAGAAGACCAAGAAAGTCTCCCCCCGGCATGTAGTCCATTAGGAGGTAAAGATTCACTGGATCCTGGAAACTGGATATCAGGGGCACCACCCTAGCCCCGGTTAGCATGGAAGAACAGCGTTGGCCAGCACATCGAGAGGACTTTGCTCACCATTCTGAATTCTCAGAGGCCGCCAAGAAGTCTCTTTCCGCTCGCAAGTGCCCTTCTTGGCAGCTTCGAATCATGTCAGACTTCCGAATGACCTTCATAGCAAATACCTGTCGTCGGCATCGGTCCCATACAAGCTTGACAACTCCGAAGCTCCCTTTTCCGAGGATTTGCAGGGTCTCGAGGTTTTCCAAGTCCGATCCTCGCCTCGTTTCAGCGCTAGACGTTGTTGACTATGCAACTCTGCAGCTGTGAGTTTTGGCGTTTCTTTGCTCGCGGAGGAAATTGGTCTCCATTGCAAAGAAGAGCCTCCAGTAATAGTCTCTCTCACTGGGGCCGAGGTGACCTCCATACTGATCCAGATTTCGTTGGTGCTCGGCGATACGCTGTTCACGTGGTGTGGGACGACTACTCAAAGCATCCTCGAAGTAGGTCTCCAGGTAGATTCTGGCTGCTGCTGCCTTTTCGACCGTGTGGACCCTTTGTTTATCAGAGAGTTGGTTCCAATCTAGTCGTCCCCAGGGTGTGTACTGGGGCGCCGAAGAAAGCTCAAGTTCCAAGTCAGGTGGCGGATTTGTGGCGGCTGGCTCAAGAGGGTGGTTTGTGACGGGCTGGGCAATTGGGTATCGCAGAGGGCGGGACTGTATTGCCTTGTGAGTGGGCTTCCCTCTTATGTCCATGAACCTGTGAATGAAGTTCCTGGTTCTGGTGGACCTAGCACTGCCCGAGGACTGTAGGTCTGCTTTGTGTGTTAGCTGGTGATGGTTGGCCTTTTAGTCAGCCTCTACCCACGTTGATGATGGCGGTATCTTCCCTTGAACAAATGGGTTAGTGGGGTCGCCTGAAGATGAGGACGGGGATTCCAAAGAGTGTGCTGTGCCTGGCCGTCGACTTCTGGACTGAGGTCTGTTGGGAGTGTGTGGTTGGCGTCTATGGCTGTTGCCGTGAGGGTCGGATTTGAACGTGCGACGATGCTGCTGCGGAGAACTTGTTGATGCATGATGTTTACTAGTGATGGAGAAATTAATTGAAGAGGTAATGAGACCTGCTGGCATAACGACTTGTGATAAATGCGGGGTCCAAAAGAGAGGCGGACGAGCAGTCCGGCTATGATGGTGTTTGGCCTGGTGGCATGTCGTCTGAGAAGATGTAGGCAGATTAGGAACGAGGATATGGATCGTTGTCCTCGGCCAACGGTTGCATTGAGGAGGGACTTGCCAAAAGCAGCTTGACCACCTTGGCCGTTTCAATTGATCGACAATGGGCAAGTGAGCTTCATTCAGGATAGTCACCGGCGAGGAGGCAGGTAAGTACGCTGTAAATTGAGCTTGCCTCAGCATCTCAGGACGTCATCACAAGTTTCTAGGCACGATCGGTTGCCGAGGAGGAAGGCTCGCCGGGAGATTCAAGGTAAGAAGTAAGGAGACTTTGATTTTCATAAAAGGAAACCGGAGCTAAGTACAGACCGACCGGAAGAAAACCATCCATGTCCGGTGAGAGAAATTTCCTACATCAACAGAAAACTCTTTTTGTGATACGCCAACTAATGCAGTGTAAGTCCTCGCCTCGTCATCCCATCAAACACATTCTGCTTCTCGTACCCCACGAGGGGACTGCGAATCTTCGCAGATAGCCACAGGTCGGAGACTATCCATTGCGGCAACAGCGCATATATCGCGACTCAGCGAATCCCATCGCCGTCACACATCATTACGAGGGAAGGTCGGCGTCTGGAACGCCGGGGCCCAGCAGGGGCTCGCCATCTTTCCATGGCGTGCTCGCCGGGCAAAATAGGGTAGAATACAGTGAGAAGCATCCTGAATCGGCGTCTCGCCGCCAAAAGGGGGTCTTGCTAGTGAGGAAGCGACCTGTTTACTTGATCTCAAGGAGCTTAACGTCGAAGGTCAGGGTGCTCTTGGCAGGAATGCCGGGCAGGCTCTTGTTGCCGTAGGCGAGGTTGGCGGGGATGGTAAGACGACGCTCACCACCGATGGCCATGCCGATGACACCAATGTCCCAGCCCTTGATGACCTGGCCCTTGCCAGCCTTGAAGGTGAAAGGCTTGCCCTTCTTGTTGGCTAGAAATATGAGTTAGCGAGATATCTAGAAGAAAGAAACATTCGAACTCGGCGCTTACCATCGAAGACCTTGCCGTCGTCGAGCTTGCCAATGTAGCGGACGCTGACGCTGTCACCGTTCTTGACAGCGCGGCCAGTACCAGGCTTGCGGTCGTCAATGGTGACTCCCTGAACGACCTTGACGCCACCCGCGGGCTTGCCAGCCTGCTTGGCCTTCTCAGCGGAGCCGGTAGGGCCCTGCTCGAGGTTCTTGGCGAACTGAACCTTCTTGTCGGACTTGGGGGTGGTCTTCTCCTCGGCGGCGACGGCCTCACCCTTGTTGTTCTTGAGCTTCTTCTTGTCCTTCTTGGAGGTCTTGGTCTCGTCGTCGGCCTTGATCAGGTCGTCGAGGCTCTCGGCAGCGCGCTTCTTGCCCTTCTTGCCAGTCTCGACCAGCTTGGGGGCCTCCTCCTCGTCGGTATCGACTTCCATGACGCGCGGGTCCTCGGTGTCGTCAAGGTCGTCGCTGTCCTCATCGGGCATGCCGTACTCGAGCTCATCGGGGGACAGGTCGTACTCGTCGTCGTCCTCGTCCTCGTCGGATCCCTCCTCCTCCTCATCGTCGATAACGTAGTTACCGGTGAGGTGGACGGTGTGGGTACCAGAAACGACGAAGAAAACCTTCTCACCCTCCTGGACGGTGATGTCAAGGGGCTGCTGGTAGTTCTGCGCGGTTATTAGCAATCAAAATTTTCCCCTCTAGACTCGCACGGTCTATTCGCAACTTACGCGCTCGGTGTCGAGAGTGCAGATGACAAAGTTCTCAAGGTCAAGGCCCTCCTCGTCGTCATCGCTCTCCTCGTCATCCTCCTCATCATCAGAGGCCTTGCCCTTGCCCTTCTTGCTAGACTTTCCGTTGGGCTTGGCATCGTCCATCTCCTCGTCAGACTCCTCCTCGTTGACAGCCTCGATCAGCTTCTTAAGGGCCTCAGCCTGCTTCTGCTTCTTGGACTTGGAGGGGTCGCTGGGACCTCCGTTAGGCTCATCATCGTCATCGGACGACTCGTCGTCATCGCCGTTGGCGTCAATGAGAGACTGAAGGTAGTCCTCATCGATCTCGTCATCCTCGCCGGCCTCGAGGTCGTCACCGAAGCGCTGCTTGACGAGGCGAAGGGTAGAGCGGGGGACAGCAGGAATGTTGCCATCAGCATCGGCCTCGGGAGCCTCAGAGGGATCAATGGCGGCCATGGTGATGCGGAACTGGGAAATCCCAAGGTTAGTTAATCGTGAATAAGCAGGAGTGCGCCGGCGCCCAGCGCAAGTTGCGACCTGGCCGGAGCCTGCGCTCAAGTGCCTACAGGCAAAGAAACAGGGCAGAGAGATGCACATACAGTGGCAGGGAAGTCGGGGTTGGCGGGAATGAGGATCTCGCCGGCGGGGACCTCGAGCCCGTAGAGAGCGACAGGAAGCTGGGCCATTGTGCTAATTGTAAATGTGGTATGTGAATGAGACTAGTAAAAGTTGGTGCTCTTGCACTTGATGATTGCTCTTCAAGGAGGTCGAAAAACAAAGACCGTTCGTTCTTGAAGGGATTATTTGGGGGTATGGAAAGACTAGGGAGAGGAAGAAGATGGGGTGGGATTCGAGTGTGAGAGGGAGGTTGTACAGAAAAGTCGAGGTTCTCGAAGAACTTTTGCCTGAAATTTTTTTCCACTCGACGACCAGACCAGACGGAACTTTTTTTTTCTTTTCTTTTTTTTCTTGGTCTCGACCCCACCGCTGGCGGCGCTAGTGCTGCCTTATCCTGTCTTATCGGCCTTATCACACCATGGCAACCAAGGCGCAACGGCAGGGAAGGTGCGTCTGGGGAAGGAGCTGCATTGGACCCTTGCCCAAAAATGCCCCAAAAATGCCCAAAACGACGTCTTCACCGGCGCTTTTGTGGACGGTGAGGACCCTCCACTCGTACACCGCTTTCTGCCTGGGCTCACTCGGTGCTGATGCTGTTGACGAAGTCTGTGCTGCCTTTGAGATCCTTCGAGGTGCCTTTGTTGCGCCATCAAGGATCACTCATTCTTACTGCATACCATATTCTGATGAGATATCAATAGCAACTTGGTCAAAGGGTTTTCGATCATTTCGTTGGGCAAATCCGAGATCTCGTCAGTATACGGACATAGATGATTAGTATCTCTCCTGCATGTCCTGTAGACAGAACAGGTACACAATTTCTACCTTGGAAACTGCAAGTTCCTCGTCCGTCTCCCAAATCTCCGTCTTTTTCTGATATTCATCATTCGTCATCTTCGACTACCTACCTCGACTTCACAAACCAAGCCTTGACAAGCTGCCACACAAACCCCAAAGCAAACCTCGTCTGCCCCTGCTCATACATCTGGCCCCTCTCACCAACTTCCGCCATCTTACACGCAATCTCGACAATCGGCCCCGGAAAGAGGCGCCTCTCGCTGCTCCGAGCGTACGCCGCCACCAGATCGTTCCCGTTCGTGATGCCACCTGTGGATATGCAACCATGATTTAGTAAAACAGACATAAAGAGCAGAAAGAGAAGAGAAGAAAAACATACCACAGCTCCAAAGATTACCATCCCGACACCATCGAAACTCATCCCCCACAAACCTCGCATCCGGAAACCTCTTCTTCAAAACATCCTGCAGACCCCTCGGCCCGCACACCTTCCTCCCCTCCAAAACCCCCGCGGCACCACACAAGAACGCGCCCGTACAGACACTCAGCACGTCCGTCCTCTTTCCCTTTCCTCCCTCCCCCTCCTCCTCATCAGCATGTCCCCTCAAAAACGCCAAGGTCTCCTCATCCCAGCTCGCCGCCGGATCCGGTCCGGGGACGAGCAGGATATCCAGCATGCCCGGCTGGACCTCCGGGCTGGAGACGTCGTGCGTCGGCCGGATCTTGACGCCCGCCGTCAAGGGGAGCTGAGGAGGAACAAGGTGTTCTGCTGCCTCCGGGGCCGAGTTCGAGCTACAGCTAGAGCTAGAGCTGGGGCTAGTCTTTGCAGAAATGTAGTAGATTTCCACGCTTGGCGCCAAGTTCGGGATGTGTTTGGGTATCATGGGCAGACCGCCCAGGTACTCTCTCGACATCATAAACAAGACGTCTACGCAGGCCATGTCGAGGAGCTGACACTCGGACGGCATAAAGACCCCAATCTTGACCATTTCGGTACTGGTGTTTGCCATTTTGTGTGTTTTTTTCTTCTTCTTTGAGTTTTGTCGTGAAATTCTACAAGGTGGATTGAAGCAATCCCTGGATGGGGCACTGGATTCCAACAATATGTTCAATGCGTCCTGGCATGGCTGTCTTGGTATCATCGTCAAGGTATCAAACCCCATCCAGCTTTATACTGAAGCCAAACAGCCTATCGACCGTCCGTCCTCCGAATGCTGCCGTCCTTTACATCGCGGTCCGAAAGCCTATCGGTATAGCCAACAACCAAGCAGAAAGACACTGGGCATCCGGTGGCTGACATTCATGGGAGCTGATTGGGTGTCATCTCTTAACTTCCGAGAGGCTTCGGGGTTCTAGCGGCTCGTCCTCAGCGGTGCTGGTCCGTCTAAAGGATGACCGACCATTGTAAGCTGATTGGAACGGCTTCCCGTCCTTCCAGGTTGGCTACGTTCGTTCAGAATTCTCTCCTCCATGATGATCAATCCTCTTGCATCTATTAACGAGGGAGCTTTGGCCGGGTGGTTTCCTCTAAAGATGCGTGAGGGTGCTTCATGTTCATGTCTACCATACTCGCCATGATCAACTCATAACCACAAGGAACCCATGATAAGTCACCGAGAATGGGTCGCAAGCAATGTATAATTCACGTCAATTTTATCGTGGCAACGTTCTTCCTGTTAACCACGCCGTCCAACCCACGTCTTAGCGTCAATTGCCATGATCATGAATCGTTCTATGTACACACAAGATTAAATATTATAGGACTCGTCCAAATTAATGGGCTCCGGGATTCTGTTGTGTCGGCCTCCCGTCTTGCTCTTTTGGAGCCCATTGTCAGCTGTTCCTGCTGGGCTTGTCCCGTCCCCAGCGGATGCAGTCATCTTTCGTCACCATCCCGGCATCTTCCTGCCGCTGGTGGGTGAGCCTCGTCATGCTGGCCTGGATATGTCCGACCTCATCGTTTCCACTTCGTCTTCCGTATAAGCGAATGCACTTGGACGGCTCTCTCGCTCGTCAAGTTCCTGCGTATTGCTCCGAGAACTCCGGTTTGAGGCCCCATAAATCCCCGAAATCTCTAGAATGCCGATACCATGCCATGCCATGCATATCAAGAATGCCCTCATCTATTTACACGTGAGGCTCTTGGGAGCCCCAACTTCTTCAAACACGTAATCGAGTTAAAAACCGCCGCTTGGTGGGTCTTCCTGGAATTGGGCTGTGCGTCGAATTGAAGAAAAAAAATAATGTGAGCCATCGACGCCTCCACGGGGAGGGCGAGGTCCTGTTGAAGAGTAGATAAAAGTTGACACAGAAGAAAATAATTGTCGTTACGCGATTTCGGCTGCCGTGAGGGATTTCGCTCTTTGCCGGGTAACCTTTTTGCTGACGGAGTAGACCAAGTCTAGCGTCCAGAAATGGCACAACTGTGCCTGGGCGCAAGGAATGGCACCGTAGAGAGGGGCGACGAGCGGAACCATTGCGTAGTCAATGAAGTTCTTCTTGACGTTGCGGTAAGAGAAGTTCATGCCCTCAGACAGACCAGCCTCGGTCATCTCACGTTGACGGGACTTGACGCAGATGCGGTGGAAGCTCTCATACAAGAAGAGGTAGAGCGCAATTTCCATGAAACCGAAAGTGCGCAGAATGTTGCAAACGTCGAAGATCCAGCTGAGGTGAGCAACTTCCTTGTTGCCCTCCGTGACCCACACGTACAGAGTAGAGGAAATTACGAAAATGGTCATCTGAAGGGGAAGGAAGTGCGCCTCGAAGAGACGGTGGAACAGGTAGACGATGCGTTCCCAGTTAGGAGACTGCAGTGTATCGTGGGTGACGTCGGAGAAAACACCGCTCTCTCTGGGCTGTTCGGGATCCTGTTGGTCCAGCTGCGTCTCGGGGACGTAGACGTCAGAGGCGTCGCCCATGGAGTTGTGAAGCGGACGGAAAGCGCGAGAGGTGTGCTTCCTTTCCTGCCAGAGTTCGACAACCTTTCGGAGCGCATATCCGGAATCGAGAGCACCCCACATATGTCTCATTGCCTGCTTGTAACGAGCCTGCATGTCCGAGTAGATACCGCGGAGACCCTTGGAGCCATCGCCACAGACGTTGCTCTGACTGACGGGGCTGACGACAGTTCTGACGGTCAAGTTGCCGTTCAGCGCGAAGAAGCACTTGAGGTACATGTGCAAATCTTCTCCAATAGCCTCGTTATCGCAGTCCCAGCCGCCGACGCGGTCAACAAGTTCCAAGGGCACGGAGTAGACGGAGGTGGGAGGCGCGATTGTAGATCCGGAGTACAGTCCCGACATACCACCGGCACCCCAAAGGATGTCGGCGACACGGACAATGGCGGGAACACTGTGGGCGTTGCGGTCGAAGATGATTGGAGCCGCGTACATGGTGGTCTTTGCTGTTTCGGGATAGGCCAGGTGCATGGTAGTCAGTAAAGCGAAGAAGTTGGATGAGAGGTGGCTGTCGGCTGTACACCCCACGTTTCTGTCAGCGAATCATCCTACATGCGCAAAAATTGGAAACATTGACTGCGGCAGATTTTCAGAATCTGGCATGCGCACGTACCGTCAAGACCCGTAATGATCACATCCTTGCGGGTGGTCATTGAATATTTTTGGCTCAATTTGCGGGCAGCCCATGCCACGTTGCTTCCCTTGCCAGCGGATTCACCTGGGATGTCGGACGGATGAATGGTGTAATCGATGCTGCGGAACTTCTTGACGAACTCCTGAATGAGGGTCATGGCCTTGAGCTCGACATTGGGCTCGCGTTGTTCCATTCCCAAGTAGACCTAGCATGCAAGTGTCAGTTTTTGTACGCGTCTCAAACAAGAACGACAGCATTCGCCAGATCGGTGGTCATTTACTACCAGGGCAACTGTGCGGCAAGGGGGGGGGGGGGGGGGGTCCAAATGTACTCACATCGTAGCAGCTGCGAGCTTGGGGGTGCGAAGCCAGCACCTCGAGAGTCTCCTTCAGGGTATCCATCTCCTCCTTGTAGTTGGGAACGATAATAGCGTGGATGACGCGGTCGGGTTCAGCGTCACCATCGGTGTATAGTTCGGGCTCCATGTCGCCAGCTTCACTGCTAGACGCAGAACCACCGTGGGAGGACGTGAGGGTCTCCGAGCTGGATAAGGAGGTCGAGGAACCACGGCGGCGGTGGGAGAGTCTATAGTCTCTGAGGGTCCTGTTGCGAGCGATCTTCTTCAGCTGGCGGGTCATGTCAAAGACAGCCCAGCAGCATCGGAGAGGGAAAGCGAAGACGAGGATGTGGATAAACAAGCAGTAGTAGGCGTAGATTTCGGTCCAAATGCCAGCGCCTTTGGTAGTCGAAGTCGAAGAGCTAAGGCTATCCTCGTGCAAATAGTTGTGTGCAGAAGCAGCTGATTCCTTTGAGATAACCCAGTAACTCAGACCCAACAAGCCCAGCATGGCCAAGCCGCCGACGCGGCGCGAGGCCCAGGCCAAAATCGATGACATGGTGACGACCGAGGATGTTGCTTCGGTGAGGCGCGTTGCCAGCGATGGAAAGATCGACGATAAGCCGACAGCTCAGGAAGGTCGACGACGGAAGGCGAGGTTGTCTGTCTGTCGAGGCAAGCAGCCGATAAGAGGCTTGGAGAAATGTGCGAAGCCTGACTGGGGGGTGGAAGTTTGCTCGAGGGAGAGCGAGACCAGCGACTGTAGACAGCAAGTGGGAGAGGGAGAGAGGAATGGAGAGGGAAGTAGGGCGGAGGAGGAGAATCAGGAAACCTCTGGGCCGAAATTGCGAAGGGCACGCGTAGAATTGGAGCCCTACCGGTCGAGGTTGATGGTGGTCTCTCGCGCTCTCTCACTCTGTCTCTTGGAGAGGGTTGAGTGTGGATGAGGAGGAAAGCAGGTGACAGTCAGGAGGAAGGGGGGGAGGGGGGAGAGAAGAAGTGAAAAAGGGAGAGACTGGGAAGAATTAGAGTGCGTCTTGTCGGATGATATTCACGAGGAGAATAGCGACTAATGGATACGGGGACAGACTGAGGAAGAGAGAAGGAGGGAAGAAGTGCAAGGTAGTGAGAGTGGATGATTTCTTGGATAGGGACCTGGGCATGAAGGAAGAGCAGGAGCCAGGAGGTAGTAGGTAGGTGGACACGGGTACAGTAAGGTCGGGTCGGGTCTGCTAAGCTAAGGTAAGGTGCGGTACCTTAAGGTCCAGTCCAGTCCACCTCAGTGTTCCGCGGGTGATACACTACAGACAGGTAATATTGTAAGGCAGGCCTGGTACGCAGTGAGGTAGACCATACTGCGTAGACGGTAGACGAGGGGGGGGGGGGGAGACGGCAGAGAAAGGGGGCGCGCTGATTTCTCTGAGGTGAGGTGCGGCGCGCCTTGCTCTGGACTCTCACCTCTCTAGGTATCCGTACGGAGTATTCGTACCAGCCCTCTTTCCCTTTCACACGCGCACCTCAGAGCTTGTTTGCGTTGGACCAGACCAGACTGGTTCCAGATGGGACGTGGGGAGGGAAAAGGGTCATTTGTACAGAGTACTTGTGTCGGCCCAGCGCCACAGCCTGACTTGGGTGTGGAGGACCCGCTCCCAGATGTACGGATACCAATATTCTCTCTGCCGCCAAACTTTGTCTGTTTTATTTTCATTCTCACCAAAACAACCAACAGGACCCGCGTATGAAGACGGCTCCGATACAACGCTGGAGTTCTACCGTCACGGACAACTATTTGCACCATCTACTGAGGCATACTATAGAAGGGAGGTATAAAGGAGGTGCTCGCCGCCTGCAAGATGAGGAGGGAAGACGTGCAGCTTGCAAAATCGTTGAACTGGAGCATTGGACTGGACAATGGGGGTAGTGGAAGCCTCTGGATTGGCGAGACGACGAGCTGGGGGTCTCCTAGCACCGGTGATGGCAGCCGTAACAGACCGGGGGGTTACTAAGGCACCTTGATCCGGAGAACTGCAGCAGATTGAGGTGGTGAAGAGGCGAGGCAGGCCGCAGGTCACAGAGAGCAATGAAAGAAAAACGAGAAAGAAGCAAGAAACAGAGCGAGGGTCGAGATGGTTCCAGTGTGCCAGAAGCCAGACTAGACCAATTCAGGATTACTTTATGGATCGTGATTGGCTCAAGAGAAAGAAGGATCGTCTCTGATTGGCCCGAACGGCAGGGGCCTTGGGGTATGCCGTGCTGAGGCTAGCGCACCTCGCCCGCTCGCATCGCATCTAGTGGGCTGCCTCTGCGCCTGCCTCACTCCCATCCTCTGCCTCGATAATTGCTTTAGCGCGAAAAGGGACGTGGGCCCATGAGAGCTCGCAGGGGTGGCACGGATACACGGACAAGGTCTGGTTGCCTTGGGAATTTTCTGCGCTTGTACTGAATCGCCCCGCGGGAAATGAGAAGGAAGAAATTACCGAGTAAGCGGTCAATCGCGAGCACTGTGTACGGCCGGGATGTATAGGTTAGTCTGTCTTTTTTGCTCTCTTTTTTCTTTCCTTTCGTCGTGTTGATGATGACCAATCGACATCGAACTACGGAGTTAGCCAGCGGAGTACAGTAGCGTTCGTTGGTTTCGCTTTCCATTGTGACAGCCTCTCGTGTCGATAGCGATAACGATTGAAAGGAAAGCACTGCCATGCCATGCCATGCCATTTGCTTGTCACGTTATAGTAACTTGAGCCAAGGAAGTCTCATACTCTGCGAGGCTTGGCCAATATTCCAAGCATGAGCGGAGCCAATATTCGTCAACAACTCATTCTAGAGTCTAGTGTAGGCAGTCGAATTGCAGAGCGTGGGAACCCCTTCAGATAGATTGACTGAGCCGGGCAGCTTGTTGTGATGATGAAAGTGTAATCATGTGCGACGCTGCGTCATGATCGAGTGCGAGCCGGTAATGCTAGACAGGAGCTTGTCGGGCACTGCACAGCCGCACTTGGCGAGTGGCTTCACTCAAGCTCGATTCGAACCTTCTTTATCCTGTGTCATCTCTTGCTTATACATTTGATGCTTCAGCCTTGGTTGATGTTATATTCCTCTTGACTCCAGCCTCAATGCCGAGAGTTCTCTCAGATCACGGTCTTTGGTACAGATAAGGTGATAAGTACCTCCCTGAGAGTTTTTACTCTCTAGACCATTCTGAGCATCATCACATAGCTTCCTGAGAGAGAGAAAAATTAGCAAGAGCCAACAGTCGCACCTTTTACGATGACTGGGACGTAATTTCACAGGATCCCCGCACAGTATGCGCTCTTCATGCAGCGATGCCAAGTTCATAGGCCAAAGACTGCCTGCTGCCTGTGCCTTTTTCCACGCTAAGGACGCTAGAGACGCTAAGGTGCCGTGGGGTCGCTCCTCCCGCTCTGACGGGCTGGCTCGCCCAAACGGGATATTTGGAAAGTACCTCCCCACTAACAATTTTCAAGTGCTCGATCCGGGGGCGTCACAGTGCAGTGAAAGGTCCACCTTGTGCTGCTTTCTTACCGCCAGCTCTCCACCTCACCGAGCAAGCGTGCGGCAGGCAGGGGACCCGTGAGCCTGTGACAGGTACGTACTGCGTACATACATACAGCCAACAATACTGCGGATGGATACTCCGTACGGATACAAAGTGCAAGGCAACTCGACATCCGATGCTGGATCCCGCGGACATAGTACGGCGCTCCCGCGATGACAGAGCTGGAAGGCACCACGGCACGCAGGCGGCAGGAGTAATAACTCATCAACAATGGAGACTGGAGCCGGACCCGGTCCTCCTGAATCCCCATTCCATTCAAGCCCTGCAAAAACATGCAAACAAAGGAGGTCCAGAGCTCAACAGCCCATAATTGTTTCTGCATTCTCATTCAGGCCAGTCTCGGTGGTGGCTCTGGTGGATGCTCAGGATGGAAAAGGCGTAGAATCCGGCCGGGAATAATCGACAATGCAATCGACAAGCAAGTGCTCCGTGTTGTGTACGAATACTTAGGCTTCTGTGGACTCGTGGAGGAGGATTCCTTTTGTGCCAGGTTGTGAAGCTTAGCCATCCTTAGTGGAAAGTCGCTCAGGGGGCGGTGTACGGAGTACGGATTCAGATTACTGTGTAGTAAGCAGTCGAAGCTTAACCTCACCACCGAACGTGGGGCTTTCTTTACCTTATTGTTCAAGCTGGTAGTTTTGAAAAGTAGGCAAGTTCTCACACCTTCTTCCTTCCTTGCAGTCGTAAGGCGCCTGCTTAGTCGATAAGGTGTCATAGGGTAGAGGCTAAGGCGCCTTACCTTACCTCAAGCAGGCCCGGTCTGAATGATAATACCTGAGGCAGATAATAAGTGAGGCAGCTTCCGCTGGCTGCTTTTCTTTTTGATGATTGCACCTCGGCTGCTTCGACTCCATCGATTTCTAATGACGTGCCTTGATCTTTGTCCTAGCTTGCCCACTTTGTCAATCCAACAGGTCAACTTCGTCCGAGGATTGTTCCCGTTAATTTGCGGCCACCAGCCAGGTAGTTCGACATGCATCATACATGTGCGACACGACGGCTGTATCTGTACCCACGGCATCAAGTTCTTATCAGCTGCCAGCTGTGAAAAGCACACAATGACGACCAAGCCACGACTATGCTCTCGAGCACTTGGGTTCACATCACAAGCTCAAGACCAATACGACCCAAGCTACCCGGGAGCTCAAGATAGTCGATAATATCATCAAACACCCAAAGCTCGACACCACTAGTCCTTTCTCGATTTAACCAACAACAACGCCTATCGTTCCTACGATTCGACCGTGCGTTGACCATCCGGCTAAGGAAACATGTCGAGTATTCTTGGGAGCAGTCAACACTGCCACTATCCGCGTTTGCCAGGCCAGCGAGGATGAGCAGCCATGCGCCATTGATGCCGCCTCTTGTGCCACAGTTCCACGGGACAAAGACGGTATCCAGGGCCACCGCCGCCGCCGCTGGATCTATACTATGCTTGCGTGCGAGGACGAATCGAAACACACGGCGGGCAGATGCTGCTGGCGGTACCACGCTATCGCAGTCTCACAGACGATGCTTCAGGTCTGGGAGATTTACCTACCACTGCGGCGCTGCAGGACGCTTCTAGCTGCCGGGACCACATGCAAAGTGGAACGTAGGCACGCCAAGCGGAGCAAATCGTGGCTCAGTCTGAGAGCGCGCACACCTTTTTACACGTCGCGACACCGTCTAATGAGCTGCAGTCTCGCAGTCTCGTAGTGGCCATTGGTTCGTTCGGGGGTGCTTCCCCAACCCCAGCTCTTACAAGCGGCGCTGCAGCTTGAGCTGTCGACAGGCGGCGGGTCGAAGGAGGGGGTCCCTTCCAGCGTGGCAGCTGTGGCTGCCGTCGTCATCCATCACGGCTTTGCTGCGGCATCGTCGTCATAGGGCGAGAAGATGCGACCCTAGAGAAACGAAGTCATGGGTAGCTAGACGACGAACGATAACGATGACCAGCGAAACGCAAGTACACAGGCGAAATTGGCCACGGCATTGGCAACGGGACGGCAAGGCAGCATGCCTGCCAAATGTCATCTCATGGCATGCATTTTTCGACCAGACCTGTCGCACGCTTTTCGCCTTCCAGGGTTCGCATCGATGATTACACTCTGGTAGACTAGCCTGCGGTCGAGGCCCCGCGAACGATATTCTTAGTCGTCCCACCATCGCCAAACTTACACTTGGTGTCATCCTGCGCTGAATCTGACGCTGTCCAGTCAGTCCAATCCAGTCACAGTGCGGCCTTCCTGCTCACTCACCGTCGGACTGGAGAGCCGATGTGGGATCTCGTGGCGTGCTGGGATACCGTTGCTGCGAAATGATGGGATGCTGAGACATGGCCGTTCTCCAATTTTCTTCTTCACTTAGCCTCTACGGCTCCTCTTGCTCTCTGCCTGACCCCTTTGCAGAGTCGCAATGGCCAAGGAGATCAAAAATTTTGAAGTCCAAATCAGCAGATGAAAATCAGGCCTAGGTGCTCTGGCCAGGTCTCTACCAGGGCCCCAGGGTTGCAAGACCGCAAACGTGCCTGTCAAGACTCAGCAGTGACGGGTCACGGCAGCCGGGGCGGGAAATTTCGACCTGCATCCCGTTGACTTGGATGCCCTGGTCACACTGTCCGATATCGACATGTGCCCGACAAGTGCATATCACCAACAATCCATCTCGCCAGTCCAGTCTCAACCACGCTCAGACACCGGGCGGTTGGTCTTGGTCAATGCAGGTTCGGCGTGGCCTCGCGAGCCGCATCAACATCATCAAATCAACGCCGTTAGCTTCTAGCGCATTTCATCAGCCCCGTGCTCACCGCATCCAAGCCATCTTGATATGCTCGTGCTATCAATGGCATCTATTCATGGCCTGGCGGGTCTCGTGCATTCTACAGACGCCTGAGACGGAATGGCAATGAAATAGCAAAGAGACTTGAGATTAAACCCGCAACATGCATATAGCAGGTAGGGCAGGCCACAGACAAGTCTTCGCATACTTTGTTCGTACCGAACACGAGAATACCAACTTTGGCAGAGGGTTCACCTTTGGAGGCGGGTGGCGTCGAATGGGCTGCCATCCTTGTACGGGTAGCTGACTGTGCTTATTCCTCCCGGACAAATACAGGCCGCGATATCTCTGAAAGAAAGGATACCGCGGGCTCTTCGTCCGCTTCAGGCTAATTCTTGTATTGTTCGCTGGTAGAGTTGCCCCAGCCGCACTCCGCAATCACACAATCACAAGCGAGAACTTGCTTCTTCCGTAATGAATAAGGCGAGCATGCTGATCCGAGGATTATCGGATATGAGCTTTTGGTCACAATACGATGAGGGAGACCATGTCCATCGGTTGCTTCGTAATTCACGCACATGTCGGGCGCAAGTGCTCCCTCAGCTTAACTCCGATCTTGGCAGAATCGGTCCATTCGCGACATCTAGAGACTCGACCACCTATTCAGCAGCCGACGCAAGCACCGGGAGGGTATACCTATTCCGCGAACCTCCACCATGGGAGTCAGCAATGAGCATTGGAGATCCATACATATGATGAAGAAGGTCAGCAACAAGAGACGACCGAGGAAGGCGTATTGCGTGTGCCAGGAGCACCTATAGGGGGGTTGCCGGATGGTGGGGTGGGCGAATACTTGGCGGGCCGGCGTTTGAGATTGAACGTTTCTGATGCTCCGAATCTGACTGGCCGACTGGACCAGTACCTTGCAAGGCAAGACATGGAGTTCCAGGTCTCCTAGCCAGCCGGCCGTGTTAAGAGGTAAATGGCCCGGCTACGGCCACCAATATGGTTCTAAGCCCAGTCTTCGGGCTTTCCTGGGGGAATCGGAGCGCCTCCTCCAACACCATCTCACCTCGATACTCGCCGTTGAACCCCATCAACGCCGGTCGCAACCTAGCTTATTGCCATTGCGGAACCTGCATCGACCCGCACTCGCGGATCGCCATAACAGTGGCATGCCGCATAATCAGCAGATGCAGATATCAACGGCGAGATTATCGGAAAAGAGGAGGTATTGGAGAAACGGAGACAACCAAGGGAACGTAGTTACGAACCACACCTTGCATCCACCAATCGACGATTTGACTCTGTCGCCGCCCAACCGTCACTTGGCAGGCCTTGGCTTAGTCCGACACCCATCAGGATTAACGACTATGTGTGATTTGCGAGGTCACTGAGCCTTGAATCCACAAGCAGAAAGGAGTCGAAATTCAAGTTGAGAACATCCATCGTGGCACAAGAGCCCCCGTCTCCCAGCTTGAGTCGAGACATCGATGCGTGTCCGGTGCGGCTGAAGCATCCGATGTCTTGATGATGAGCTAGAACTCAGCGTGTGATGGCTCCCGCAAGCCTCACACCGAATTGGTGCAATTATTGCTCCTCTCGGAAACCTACGTCTGCAAAGTACCCAACCCACGCATGGCGGACGGTTTGCCCTTGAGACACCAAATCCATGGACCAATGTGGCACTCAGACTCGTCCGGTCACAAGTGGCATGTCTCAACATGTTGCGATTCAGAAGTTCGCCCCATCATATCCGTCTGCGTATGCATCTGCCCGTTCACCACCGGGGCCGTCTTGTCGGCCGACGGGGTCCTGTTCTGCTCCAATGCGGGAAACAACTTTGAAACAAGCACTGCGAGACAGTCGAGATGGGCATACTTTCTTTTGCACAGCACAGGATGAAGCTTGTAGGACAGCGTGCGTGGCCTCAAGAAAGCAAGAACGGTTGATGGGGTGTTAGGGGACCATTATGCCGGACTTGATTCCTGCAGCGACTCGCCGTTCATGTTCCTCGAGGCTTCTCGAAGCATACGGTCGCGAATGACAGAGATGAGGCAATATGCGATCCGCGCTGTCAGGGCAATTTTCGACGACCAAGACTTCACGGCATACTTGCAACCTCCCTTTGCCAACACGACCTGTTTCTGGCCAATCATTCCAGTCACCCATGAAACGACTTGCCTCAGATGTTGAAAGCCAAAGAACAAAAAAAAAAAAAACTCACCGCCCAGAGTCTTCCATCCCCGATGACCCCGACAGCCGGACGGATCAACCAACCAGTCACCTTGCGGGACTGACATGTCGCATCATCGGATCCGGGGTGAGACCTTCGGCTGCCATGTGCATTGCTTCCCCAGCCAACGCGTCACTTGTGCTTCGGCCGGGCGGGCTTCGCTGGCCGTCCGGGCTTATGCCGAATCGGGTTTTCCTTGGCAGCCGGCGCGGGTGACGACAGCATCCCGTTCAACAGCCGTCCCCTCGACTTTTCCCGGGGCGACCCACCCCCAGAGCATTTCACACATACCGACGTCAAACACGGCTCACTTGTCTTTGAACGAATTATGTTTTGACCTGTAGAGTATTGATTATTGAGCTGACGACGCCAATCGTCTGTGATGACGTCGTGGTTCTCGGTGGGCTATGAAGGTGTGAGGCAAACCTTTTCTCGGCCTTGTGGTCTTTTATAGACTCCGTCTGTGATGTTCACCCCTCTTTGCAATCCCATCGGCAGCCCTTTGGAGGCGCAGCGCGCTATTACGCTGCGCTGTCAGCAACAGAGCCACCCAGGCCCAACTTTGACATATTCAACGGTGCCCGCGGGTGCGTGTCACCGCAATATACCTTTGAGCTTAGATGCCGTCCTTCCGTAGCCCCACCCTCGTAGGCATGCTCGCGACTTTCGAGAAAAATCCTCATCCGTAGACTCCGAAGGCAGCCTTGAGAAGGATACTAGGGCATGTCAACACCCAGTAGAATGATTCCCCCGTAGATGCTCGTATTCAGAATTCTCGCTGGGCCATCTTGTTTCTGCGGCATCCCCAGCTGAAGTGCCGAGCCAAGAGGCTGGGTCAGAGGCTCTCGCAGAGCAGTGAGGCACACGATCTATTGATACCGAAGCATCTTCTGCGAGACATTTCGTGCAGCAGCCGAAAGATCGAGCTCGTCCAACGGGTAAGTACGTTCTAATCTACCGCTTTCATACAACCTTTTCGAAGAGTTCCTGGATGGGTTTCGCAGCCTACACCGACGGACGTTAGAAAATCGATGCGCATGACAAGTTTCGTCAAACGGAAGGAAGGCATTGTAGAACTCACATCGATGAACTTCTCCAAGTCTTTATCGAGGTTGGCCAAATCGTCCTTGCGCTTCTTGTTCTCGGCAATGAGCTTCTGCTTCCTGCCCACCAGCTCGAGCCTCTGCTGCTCGAGAGCTTCGCGTCCCACTCGCTCGTGGCCGATGCGCGCAATCATCAAGGCGTCCTCGTCGGCGTCGGCGTGCTCTGGTTGCTCGGCGAGGAATTCTTCGACGGGGATGAGAGGTAGCTTCTGGTAGGTGTGGCTGGAAAGTCACATGTTAACTATGGATGAAACTTCTATCGACCGCGCCATATAGGAGAAAAAGACAGAAGAGTATTTAAAATAAAAAAAAGCCTCTCCCACTTACTCGTAAGATTCGCAGGCCTCAATCTCGCCCTCGAGATGGCGCTGCTCGTAGTAGAGATTCTGCAGCTGGAGGTGCAGGCGGTCGACCTCGTGGCGCGCCTCGGCGGTCTGGGCTTTTGTGTCCCTGGCGTCAAAGTTGGCGGACCGGTGCAAGCCGCGGAGGTGCGAGATGTTTGTGAGGAGGAGTTTTTGTTCTTTTGACAGGGCGGCTTGGAGCTCTGGCGAAGTTGAGCCTGACTCTTCGGCGGTGCGGGTGATTTCGGTGAGGAGGTGGAGGAGCTTGGAGGCTTGGTCTTGGGCGTAGCCTGAGGTCTGGAGGACCGCGCCGAGTTTCTTGTCTGATACGAGCTCGTTGACTACCATTGTTGCGGTTTCTTGTGCTTTATCCGTGGGGTTGTGAAGAAGTTGACGATGAGGGGTGGCAGGGTATGGTGACAGCTATGTCGGTCTCGATTTGAATTTCGTTGATGTGTTCGCCAGAGCTGATCTGCTTGATCGCCGTTTTCCGAAGAAAGGATTGTTCGTGAAAGCTTCGGGGTGAAGTTGGGATCGCGTAGTCTCTCTTGTCGCGTGCGCGCGCAAGGCTGAAGGGAAGGCGAGGTAAGGTCGTCCGGCGCGATCTGACGAATGGGATGGATTGGGCGGTTTTGCACTTTTTGCGCAAACAGACGGGTACGCTGACAGGGGCTAACGTACGAAACTTCAGCCTTGTGGTTTGCTTTTGAAAGGTATTCGGTAAGGTAATTGAGGTTGCGCCTCAAAAGTCGAAAGCGTGGGCCGTGGCGTGGTGGTTGGATCTAGTCTGCTTCCGATGCTTTTGCCAATATTCCCATAGCTCACCACTACTGTACCGTGGCGGACGTTGGAAAATCAGTGCAGCCGCACCGCAGGGACCGTGCTTTCGGTAGCATTTCCCAGCTCCCGTGGTCCCGTCCCACCACCTCCAAGATGCTGAGAACCTGGACGGGAACACAATGTACACTACAATCTACAAACCGCCATGAGCGGCGTTCTGCTTGATCCTCAAGGCTGTGGACCGACTCATGCTCGGGCGGATCTCATGGTTAGGAGGAAACGGACTGGCCGTAGGTGAGATAAGGTAGGGAACGCATCGCACTGGTGAAGCACATGCTGGGCCGCAGCAAGTGATACCACAATACAGAGCTTACAGGGTAGAACATTACCGTACATACATGTTTAGGCACGCTATGGGGAAACTAGTTGGAAGCCTTATCGGATAGTGCCTTTGGAACTAAGCAGCTAAGGTACCTTGAGGATAGTCATGGACAACAATGAGAGTCTAAGACATTGGAGGTGGTCTTGGGGTTGTCCATCACAAGGCACGCTAGGGCAGGAATTTCTCCAATGTCGAGCGTCATCTCCCAAGCCTTTGGTTTGCCCTGCTGTCCGCAGACTAAGGTACGCATCATAAGCGGGGAGATCCGAATGGGAGTGGTAAGAGAGACGGTGGTTCCAGCGATTTTGAAGCTATTACCTGAGATGAAACTCTGGGGCTCCGTCATTATTGATTCCTGCCAGGTCGGAAACACATGACACCTGACGGATTTCCTCGAACCTCAACCCTGCTCCTTCGAAGAAGAGTCTCGGAGCTCTTTCATGCACATGCTAGTGTAAGGTAAATAGCGTACGGAGTACGGACCATGCCTTGGCCCCTCCGTCTCACAAGGCATTGACAGCCGTTGGGTCGTCATCCCAAGGCTTGGTTTTCTTACACATGTACGGAGAACGCATGGTAACGGCACGGCAAGGCAAAGTCGGCAACGGGCTGCATGTTGGCATTCACGCATTTCTGAAGATCTTACACTAGTCCGTCACCATGCACCAACTTTTGTGTTTCGATGCTGCAGGTGCAACAGGTGAGCAGTAAGCACTCTCACTGGTGGACGTAAGAGAGAAAGATTGAGAGGGAAAGGAAGAAAAAAAAGGACTGTGGTCCCTTGTGGGAACTGGTGCGAGGAAGGGATGACGACGATTGGTGGCGCGCATCAGAGGCCCGCCACGCCACGGCACGCGCGCCTTGGGCTGGGGCCGAAGTTTACCGGGCCATGCAGGCGCTGGACCCGCTCGGGGCCAGCAAAGCGAACCGAACAACAGCCTCGAGATTCACAGCTCATGCGGAATTCCCTCTCTCAACACATTGAGCTACTTCCCTTGATTGTGTTTTCGGCAATGACTTTACTCTTCTGTCCTGCCCTGTCCTGAAGTAGTTCCAGTTGGTCTCTGGTTGATTGGACTCGGATGCTTTACCGAGTGCCTCTCTGTTCAGTCGCTTTTGTGTGTTGTTCCGATGGCGGATGTCATGTCCCTTTAGAGCTGCAGAAAAACCCACATTGCCCCGAGATGAGAAGAGCCAACAACCCCGGCCTCTGCAAGGTACCTTACGAATACTATCCGTAAACCACTTTGCGCGGCTTGGCTTGGGCGCTTCCGCAACTCATTCGCAATTCCCCATCGTAATAGTTTTCCCTCTTTCCTTTGTTACGTTTGCTCGTTCTCTGTTTCTCTTCCCCTTTATCTCTCGGATCGCTCTCGGTAATTGAGTACAAAATACTTTGCGTCTTGCTGACACAAAGCGCCAGTTCAGATCTTGGGAATTCGCCTCCCGCTCTGTTCTGTCTTGTCTCTCAGGCTCTTTCTCAACTGCCAAAGCTCCCGTCTCGTATCTCTTGGCTCCATTATTTGCATCTGCTCACTGTTCGTCATTTTTTTCTTGAAAGATAAAAAAAAAACAGAAAGCAAAACGCACGTGCAAAAAGGATCCGATCCGAGGAGCTCTCGTGTTTGTTTCCTCGCAAGACAAGCACCCAAAAGTGTATCCGTATTGCATTTCGCCATCCGATACCATCCTCCCAAAGGTCCCCCTTGACCTTCCCCCCAAGAAAGGCACCAGGGTCCAGCTGTTCTGTCGATCTGCGGCCTGCTCCTCTCCGTACTTACGCCCCGGCCAATCCGATTCCCGCATTGTTGAGATCCGCCCGCCGCTCAACTACCTCAACAGACTTAGAACGCTTTTTCATTTCCTGGAGAAAGCAGCTGCTTCTTTCGGTCCCTTCTTTTTCGGTCTCTGTCCTGTCTGAGTCTCACTGACCTGCATTCCTGTTCCCGTTCCCCTCCTCCTGCTCATCCCTCCCACGCTCCCTCCACCCTTCCACCGCCCGCCCTTTACGCCAAGGCCCCTCCCCTCGCGCTGGGTGTATAAGCCAATAATTGCCATCGCCTCCCGCTCGTGGGCTTATCCGTAAACATCGACTCGTCCCGCAAATCTACAAACCACAACACAACCGCACTCCCTATCACCAAAACACCGCATATCTTCAGTGTAACACAACCAAAACCACAACTGCGGGACCACACTTGCACGTGTAAATCCAAACGAAGGCGAGACCGACATAGTTCAACATTCCGGAATCCCACCAACCTTTCACCTGGCTGCGGTCTATACCGCCGAGCCCCCGACTCCAAACCTTGTTTTCGCTTGAAGCATACCCGAGGTGCTTCTGTTAATACCTACATATTTCCGACTTCCTGTTGGCTGAGTTATGGAACCCATTGCCAACATGGCTTCCCTCAAGTCACCTTGCAGCGGCGCCGCCATCCAGGACGACGACGACTTTACCACTGCCACCGCCTCGGGAGCTCAGACTGAAGGCTCCGAAGTTGCTCGGAAAAGACGACACTCCCATTTCATTCCTAGACGCAAGTCCATCGTCAACCAAATCATGGACGGCGAGGAGCACTTGCTACTAAAGGTATGCTCACTCGCCACCACAGACCTCGGCTGTTGTTCGGGGTTGCGTTTCTCTTTTTACAGAGACATTGTGAAAACAACATATCCGGGATTGATAGGAGAAACATGCTGACAGTACTCCTCCACAGGTCGACCTCTTCCTGACCGAATTGGAACGCCGCCTCGAATTCCTCGAAAACTACGGCGAGCTCACTTTCGACTCGAGCATATCCCGCGCCTTCTCCACCCTCCAGACCGTCCGCGCTCGCTGCTCTTCCGCCTCGGAGGAGTACCTCGGCGCCGGACGCAGGCGCCTGCACATCATGGTAGAGACACTCGAGGCCCGGTACCAGGGCGCTCTGGCCTCGGCCGAATCCCTGAACGAGAAGGCCCGCGTCGGTATCGAGCTCCTGGACGACATGCTCACCGAGTTTGAGAACAAGGCGCACAAGTTGCGGGAGCAAGGCCTTGCCAATGCCGCCGATACGGCAAGCGCTTTCATGAACGAGGGCCGAAGGGTTGTGGACGAGAGCATCGGGCTCGCGCGGGAGGTCGTCGACGAGGGTATCGAGAGAGCCATGCGCGCCGCTGAGAGTTTGGAGGAAAAGATTGCCCACGCCGTCGCGCGGGCCAGGGAGACGAAACTCATCACCTACGACGACCTCCCCATGCCGTGGCGCATCAACCCTCACATCCGCGATGGATATCGCTTTACCGAGTCCAAGCTCGAGTGCATCTGGTCGGCCTTCCGCCCCTCGAACGAGCTGGTCAACATTTGGTCCCACGCCATTGGCCTCTTCATTGTTCTCGCCGTCGCCCTCTACTTTTACCCCCGCAATATCAACTTCCAATTCAGCACCAAGACGGATATCTTCGTTGCCGCCGTCTTCTTCTTCACGGCGTGTCTGACGCTGGTATGCTCGACGATCTGGCATACCATGAACGCCGTGGCCGACGTAGACGCAATCAGCATCTTTGCGTGCGTCGACTACACGGGCATCTCGCTGCTTATTGCAGCGTCCATCGTCACGACCGAGTACACGGCCTTCTACTGCGATCCCGTCAGCCGCTGGCTGTACATGGGTACGACGGCAGTCCTCGGCATCGGTGGCGTCATCCTCCCATGGCACCCGACCTTTAACGGAGCCGAGATGGCATGGGCCCGCGTCGCCTTCTTCTGCGGCCTTGGCGCAACGGGGTTCCTGCCGATCCTGCAGCTCTACTTCTCCCACGGACCCGACTTCGTCTGGGAATTCTACACGCCGATTGCCAAGAGTATCTTTGTATACCTGCTCGGCGCTTTTGTATACGCCAGCAAGATTCCCGAGCGTTGGTGCCCGGGCATGTTTGACTACATTGGCGGAAGCCACAACTTGTGGCATTTGGCGGTTCTCGGCGGCATCTTGTTTCACTACACGGCGATGCAGTCCTTCTTTGCGAATGCTTTCCGTCAGGCGCAGGGAGAGTGTTCCGTCTTTTGAGGCTGAGGCGTGAATGTACGCCGCGTTTCGGCTCGGGCTTGCTTCGAATTGTCAGTCGTATTCTGCTGTGATGCGATTACGGAGAAACTTGCTTTGCCCGCGGTCATACTTCATCCTACTTCCCGGGAATTCCTCTCGCCGGAATCTATTGCCTTTGTCTGCCGTTCAAAAGGGCTGTATGTCCTAGCCTTGCCCTCGACAGCAGTAGGCGCCATCTGGTGTCAGTCAACCCGACGCATTCTCGGCTCCTGGTCCGTTACGTCAGGTTATGGTAGCCCGAGCATCAATGTCAATACTGGCAATCCTACATCGGCTTAAGCAGCTTGGGACATCATCCCAGGGCCGTCTTTCCTTGAGGGTGAAGAGGACAAGCTGCCAGGATCTTGACGTATGTCAGCCATAGAAACCTCCAACGTCTCGCAGGGCTAGGCAGGAACAGTGCCCGGCACTGGACTGGCCACGTCGACGAGGCAGATAAGCTGCCCCCGCTATCAAGATGTTGAAATTGGTACTTGGCTCGGCGCCGGGCCAGCGGTCGGAGTAATACTTATTGCATTGACATGATTTTGTCTGTCCACAACCTATGTCGGCATATAGAATAGAGTGCAATATCTAATAGGCAAAAAAAGCTAGAAATCAGGGTCTGAGTTGAGGTTCTCACTCCCCCTGCGCTCGTTAATAGAATAGATACCCATCTGTCTAAAAGTTGGACCTTGACCTTTTTGATAACACATACCGTCACTTCTTGTTGACTCTGCCGTTGCTTTTCTCTAAGGCAGACCATATGATGAGAGCCTTCTTTATTAAGATTTCCCAATGATCAAAATGGCCCGAATCCTCCTTGATAGGTTGTAGAGGTTCAGGATCTGAACGGGCGTAGTGTACGGTCCCCGTCACCTGCCTCTCCCAACTTTCCTCTGTCTGCACGCCTCGCTTTCCTGTCCTTACGCCTCTGCTCCCTTTTCCGCATCCCGACTTCCACTTCCACTTCAATGCCTCAAAGTTGGGTGTCTATTTGCCTCGAGGGGTATGCTCCAAAGCCATAATATCGCTGAGACTCTCCTCTAGATCTTTGCTGTGATCCGACTAGGTGCTTAAAGAAGAAGAAGAGCCACTACTATCCTGATCTCCCCTCGTTAAAGTCCATACTCTCAGCTGTCGTGTTCGTTAGTTGTCATCAGAGCCCTGTTCACGTGCTGAGAGGGCGGTGCGCTTTTCTGGTCAGTCAGTTGGTCGTCAACGTTCGCTGGCTCTTTGGCCGTGTAGGACTGGGCTCGGGTCTATTCGAATCGAGAGATGGCAGACGATTGCCGTCATTTGTTGTGTCGTCGCTTCCGGCGACTGATGACGGCACTTCCGTGTGCTCGCTGCTATCGTCTTGTTCGTCTTCATCGTCGTCTTCATCATTGTCTTCATCTTCGTCAGATGTGCGCGGTCTGGCCCTGTTCCTGGCCATCGAAGCCTCATCTATCTCAGCCTTGTGCCTCGTCCAGGTCCGGCCAACCTAGACATGTATGAAATCGAAATTTTCTTACTGTCAATTAAAAATTCGGATTGACTTACCTCATTCTCAGTACACAATTCCTTCACTGCTTTCGCCGCCTTCTTGACTTCTAGTCGTAGTTCTCAGCTGATGGGCATCTCCTTGAAGAATTTCGTGTCTTACTGACGAGCACAGCACTCGAGTCGGTCCAATATATAAGAGAAAGATGTTTCCACTAGATTTTCAATAAGTCCACGGCTACAGGTAACGGCGGGGTGGTCGAGATTTCTTTTCTGATGGAATGGAGAAGAAGAGAAAGTATGGAGGCCAGAGATTTCTCGGTTGGGTAAGGGGAGGTAGGTACGGTTGTTAATATCGTCAGTGGAAACGAGCCTCAGGCCGGGCAGGAAGGAAGGCACGATCGAGATTTCACATTATCACTCGCAACTCCAGATCACTACTTCAACCAACATTTCTATACAAGTTGTCAGGGGAAACTTTCTAAACTCTTCAATTTCCATCGTCTTTTTTTTCAACCCGTCTTTACCTCCAGAAGGAAACCGTTCGTGTAATTCAATCGCCACATTTTGCGCTCACTTTGCATTCACAAAGTCTATTGTACATGGGTGGCGACGTGATACTCTGCAAATTGCCTGTGACGTTTGATGAATCTGCATACAAGGAGATGAACTTGGGCGTCAAGCTTGACACAAGGAGATAGCAGAATGAAAAAACGGGGTCGTACCCGAGGTTACTGTCGTCGGTCCATAGGCAATTGTTATGACAGGTCAACGCACAGGGCCTACTAAGATTCATTCTGAACTTGCCTTTCCGTCCTATGTCTTGCAAGGTACGGAGCAGCTAAGGTACTTGTAGAGGACGAGAGTTGGATATCAACTGACGAATGATTTACGAATGATCTTCTTATAGCGTATAGTACTACTGACGGAAGCAGCGCCTGATATGCGTTTGCTCTAATCTTAGCAGTCGAATTCACTTACCGATGCATTGTCTACTGGATTCGCATGAAACTAGAAAACAAGGTGTTCAAGTACTAATCGTCGATGGTTATATCGGCCTTCGATGTGTTCGTCATAGCATCTCGAAACGCCTCATCGTCAGAAAGCGTAGCCGCATCGAAGGAATAACGTTCCTCTCAGCGTTGACCGCCATCTCTCTTTCCCATTATTATCCTCCTTGATCCCCTCGGCTGGGAGTGGTCCCGAGTGCTGAGCAGCTGCCATCAAAGTCCAAGGTTGGAAACATGGCTGCGGTCGTCGTGATCCAGTGGTGGGAAAGCCCGCACCGCGTACCGTTCATCCATGAGGCGTTTTCCCAGAGAATTAATTCTTTGACATTCAGCTCCATCACTGACTGTAGTACAGCTAGCGGTATTTTCCCCTCCCTGGGCAATCGCTCTGGTGGCTGTGTGGACGCGACAGACCCGATCACGGCTAGTCACCAATGGCCTGACATTTTCGAATGCGAAGAAGGATATTCAGGAGAGTTATGCAGTCTCTGTGATGGTCAAACAGCAAGTAGGAAATCAATCTCTTGACATTCATCGCTGATATCCGCCTTCGACAGTCGACCAAACCCTCAGCGACTGGAGCAACAAGCTCATAAACTGATCCAAAATAGCCTGTCAACCTCTAAGGCGGTATTGTCTACCTCGACTGAGAAGACACCGCATTGTGGTGTTTCGGAGAGAGGAGTCATTCCGCATGCTGCACCCTCAACCTGCGGACCTGCTGCGTCGCTCCAACATCCGTCTCACATCACCACCTACCTCGCCCAAGCTCGCCACAAACTTCAAAAGAGCCCCAAGCAACACCCTTTTGTCTCGGCAGCTTATTGTTGGGTGCAAAACATATACAAAAGGCGATAGACACTCCTCGACGGGAGACTTTGTATGGCAAAGCAAGTATTTAGTAAAGATCTTACAAAGTAGATGGGTTTAAGGTAAGATTTTGAGTGTAGGCAATTTGAATATTGGGACATCATAGCCTCGGTCTGTCTGCACAAGATGTGAGAGGAAAGCAGTTGAGTTTGGATCGGCCGGGCAGAAAGGTGGCATTAAGTTGACATCGAGACAGGGCTTGCGACATGGATTCCTCCCAATATGAGATATCAAGGGGAGGGCGTGATAGCCACGCGGGCCAACATTCTTTGTCGCCCGGGTGGTGTTCCCCAACGAAAACTCCACAAGAACGAAGCAATGATGAGATCTTGAGGCCCTAAATCATGGGATCACATTTATCACCTCTCCACCCATGTCTAGTTTACAGTGGAAGGCAAGGCAAAAGTCATAGGTGGAATCATAGAAAAGCCATTTAGGAAGTTTTTATAGAATTCTCTGTTAGAAACCCTAAAGTAAACCGACTTCTACCTGTAAAAGCTCAGATCAGCTCAAATTAGGCTCGATTCCATGTGCTGAAATCATAACCCGAACAGATGAAACGGACACTTGGTGATGAACGAGGGGGAAGGCTCTTAAGGTAGCTAACCACTTTCCAGGACAGAGGAATTGCAATACCGTTGATGATATCGAATACTCCAATCAAAGATTCTGACGATGGTAACAGGAACAACTATAGAAATCTGATATCTCATCACCTACTTAAGGGGGCCGATGATCACCCCCGCGAATGAGCTGCTTTGCTCAACTGTTACACAAATAACACCAAGGCCCTTTGAGAATGACACATTGTATTAACCAGTCCCTTGAACTGGAAGTGGTGACTGAAGTGAGAGGGGGGGGGGGGGGAGATATGCCATGAAGAGTAACATACAGCTCGTTCACTAACACGAGGCTATAAAGTTGATATCAGGACATGTGTGATATAGTTCCGGCTCTACAGCTGAAGCAAGCGTAGATTGACGTGTAAACCGGAGCAAAGCTAGTCAATACAGCCACCCTTGACCCAGCTCGTGAACTGATACCTGTACTTTAACGCCATACGCACTCACCTGATTTACACCAAGATGCTCCTAGATACTGCCAATATCCTCCCCAGAATCAAGGAATCACTTGCTCGGTACGTCTTTCTACGACCTCGAAGCATCAAACTTTCCCGTCAATGACCCATTTCCGAGCCGAGCAGTCCCTCGCATCCTCTCACAAACCTGGCAGCGTGTCCCATTAAACCCTCATCCCCGATCTGGGGAACCATCAGAGACGACATCAAAGCTGTACACGAGGCCCTTCTCCAAAGACTCACACGCCAGACGCGACGTGCTCTCTATCCTCATGCATGCATGTAAACCGACTACACAGTAGCCATTACCATCGAGCATCGGCCGACGCGCCAAGTTACCAATAACGCAAACACCACCGCATCTTCTTCGGGGGTGAGGGAAGCCATCAAATTACGAAGATCCTCATCGACGTCATCCACGTCCAGACCAAAAGAGATTCGAGGCAATAGACTCTCTCCGGACAATTTCCCACCCGAAAAAAGGGCTGAACTAGGACGGAAAGTCGACGAAGAAAGGACCGAATGCTCGGTCCGCCATATCCCCATTCTCTCCTTCGAAAAGAAAAATACAGCTCCTCGAGAAAGAAGCCCCCAGCTCGATAGTCTGTAAGCCGGCTCTTCTCTAGCCCACTCCATCTTCCGTTGGCGCTGCTGCAAATCAGAGAAATATCATAAGATGAATGGCCCAAGAACATCATCATCACCAACCGAGGCAGCAACACTTGCGAATGCCAATCATTGGAGGGAGAAAAAAGCCACGAGGCCACCCGCGTGAACCCCGCACATCGACAAGCCCATGATCAACACTTGGAGATCTTTCCCCCCAACGCACCGCACCGTCTGCCTCGGTTTCAACCAAGACTGAACATCGGACCCCCTTCTCCTACCTGGGCAATCAACAGAGGGAGCGAAAGACTCGGTTCGCAAACTACACCTCATTCATCCCATGAGAATGCGACATCTGTGGACGCTGTAAGCTTGGCTGGCAACTCCAACCCTCACCGTACGGCCGAGGGTTTTAATGCGACAGTGTCCTCGGGACCTCGTGAACATGATTCACAAGACCTAAACCCGCCTCAGGCGCGCACCCTCCTCCAGAGATCTCCCAACCTCGGCGATGCACAACTGAGACAATGAGACTGAGACATTCGACCGACGCACCACCGTTGCGGGTGCCAATACCGAAAGGACACCGCGGGTTCGCAGCCAGACCGACCGACTCGAATGAGTCGAATCGATACAACGGCCGGTCAACAAGTCAGGCAAATTTCTGGTCCCCCCTCCGAGATGTCTGAGAGGGTGTATAGCAAATATCGAAGCCCGCTACACACCCCCTTAGTCAAGATCAGAAATTAGACAGAACTCTCACCCCGCCTTGCCCCGCGAGAAGCGCTAGAAGTAAAAGATAGTGAGACATGCCATCGAAGAAAAAAAGCCTTACGTGGACAGACAACAGAGTAATGCCGACGTGGTATCGGAATCGCTCGGAAAGTGTAAAGACCTTCTCCCTCCACTTGTTGGTTCGATAGACCAGACAGAACCAGAAAAAAACAAAATCAAGCCTCGAATGACCAAACCGAAAAAGGGCCATCAAACTGTTGATCATTGCCCTACGAGCACGAAATACCGCCGGGTGGAAGCTCTCTGACAGAAGGCGCGATGCGACGCTACCTTGACGCCAGCCAGCAGCTCTAGGCCAAAGTTAGCAATGTCTCAGTTCTAGTCAAACAGCTAGACCTCTTCGACGGTCCTTCTAGAGGTTTCATCCAGTGTGGATATTCCGTCGTTGGAACCGGTGCGTCGTTTTTTGTCGTTAGGAACAGATACGGATTTGGGAGTTCCAACAAAAAAAAACGACGACCGAAAAAGAAAGAAATGCCCGTAGTACGAGTACACTAGAAACGGGGAAGAACGCGTGAACCCCATCGTCGGATCATCGGACCCCAAATCTGTTGTTTGTTCTTATCCCTCTCCCTTCCGCCCACCACGGCGGAGCAGTTATGTCGATCACAAAGACGGATAATCCCACTGAACGGTACCCCAACGTCGTATGCAGACCTCCTCTGGGACAAAATCCTCGTCGCTGAGGCCCCCGGGGCTTCGCTTTTCCCAAATTGCTGGTAGATTTGCAGCGAGGGTCATGTCAATAGTCGCGACGCTAGCCCGCTCATCATTAGCCTCATCTGTGCCGTCCCAGACGCACAGTCCACAAGCGGATTGATTTCGCGAAATGAATTGTCAGACGGCGTGTGAGTGGGATAAATTCTCCCAACATCGACAGTTGGAGGAATCCGGGGTGGCATATTACCGTAGGGCAAACAGCTCATGGGGCGTTTGTGGTCGTCCGTTACCTTTCACTTTGCTGCCCTCCCTTTCTTCCTCTAGGCTTTCTAGCGAACGCCATCCGCGGCCTGGGCCTCCTGTATAGATTTCTTGGCCTGCATGTTGTTGATTCCAACCGCATGTACATGAAAAAGCAGGTGCGTCGCGTTGATAAGCTGTGCCGCGTACCAAGACCAGAGACCGGTCAGCTTCTCCTCTTCCAGACCCCTCTGCAGAATCGGGGAAATCATTCGTGAAATGAGCTCCCGCGGGTTCCCGCAAGCCTCATCGCTCCTCTCCGCATCGCGGCCCTTGATAGTTCGTCTCCCATAGTCATACCATGTCCTCTTGTAGAAAGTCGACCGGCGCTTCCCCAGGCCGCAAGGCTCCCGGTGTGAGAATTGAGAAGAGACCCGTTGCGCCTTTCCTTACCAGGACTCGGCCCTCTGGAGGATTCAATCGGACCAGCCAATTACCATGTCCGTCGGTCTTCTTAAGGCGTGAGCACCGCCCTGGCGGGCCATGGACCATGAGAAAGAAGGCTGGGCGATTTACAAGAGGGGACCTTCTTGTCTGATCCTCCGAAAGAGGTTCCACTCCCAAGGCACAACTTCGGGGGGCCAGGCTTCGTGAAACAATAGAGAACAACCATGACGGCATGCGGAGACCGATAGATCGTTGCATAGTCAGTGCAAAAAAGGGCCCCCAACCCGGCCTCGTGGAAGGGGGGATGAATAGTGATGCGATTCCCACGACCTCCTCAGTAAGCATCTGCGAGTGCATGGCGTGTACCCGCGATGCCAAGATGCATCTTACACACCCTTCACGTTACTTTGACCAACCACACCTACGGCCCGCGGCCTCAATGCGACTTGTGCCTGCATCTGAGGTGCATACACATCCTGGAAATTTGAAGGATTCCATGAAGTTCGTAGTCGTGGGTGCGAGGTTTTCAAGGAGGACCAAATGAAGGCTAAATGGCAAAATCGTGTGGTGGGCCGTGCCTTGGCATCTAATCCGTAAGAAGACTCTTCTGAAGGGGGTCGGTCAAGATCAGCTGCACGAAGGGCTTTGGGTTTCTTTGTCCCAGGTAGAAGCTGCTTCGACGTCCCGAACCAGAAGCGTGGAGGTGGCAGCCCATATCTGTCGATTCAGCGTTTCATGTGAGCTCCTGAATAGACGTCGAATTTTGCAGTGAAGTTTGGCTCTTATCGTCGTCATCGTACCACTAATGCTGCCTCTTTGACCAGAGGTTCATATATTTGAGGGAGGATAGCCATGTGCTCGGCTCTAATCCACAAGGTTTATTCTGCCTATTCGCCTGCTCTGTGGATTCAAGTCGAGCCCGCCATGGGCTGAGAACCAAAAAGAGCATCGCGTCAAGCAAAGCCCTGCTTAATGAAATCGTTTCGCGGGGGCAAGCTTCCCGGCTTCCTTTTCAATCTGGTATTTTGACAGGCAAACAGCTCAACAATTAGGGCGATCCATTGGCTAGAATTACCATATCATGGGTACGAGCTCGGCCCTGGCCAGCCTGACACATTGTTGCTTTGTTTCTTTTGGAAGGCAGTGGAACCGTTGGTCCGTTGGTTTTCGAGATTTTGAGGAGGGGGGCAAAGACCCAAAAGTTCTTTGGGGCGCCAGGGGTAAGAACAAAAATCTAGTGGAGAAGTGGATGGGATGAACGTGGTGGAAAAGTACCTAGTCCTGGTCTTTGTAAAGTCTGCCCAGGATGCGATCATGTTCCCGGGGCGCGACGTGGATAAGGTGCCTTGGAAAAGTGGACGAGCCTTTTTTCTTTTGTCCGAATCAATCGTAAATGCCTCCGCTCTCAATACTTTGACAGTTGATAAGGTTTACACTGCTCCGAGCCCCCGAGCGGCATTTGCTTCAAGGGCACGTTGATATATTGCGGCCCAAAGAGGGGCCGTCTGCTGTTGCTTTCTTGTGCGCCAGTGTAGACTGGTACGGATATAGATACTTCCATCCGCATGTTGTGACTTACCCCCATCGGATGTGAGCAATGGGCTGCATGCCGAGGAAAACTCGGTCGAGGTCGAATCACGTTCTCGAGGGTGCCCGAATAGCACCCTGCCGTTGTTGCAAAATGGACATTCTCCCGGCGCGGCGAAGCCTTTCCGCTCCCACACATGCCCCGCGCCTGGGCCGACAAGAATTGTCTCTTGAAGTCTCGCAAGGCGACCAGTCGTTTTCTCTTCTTCGATGCCATCTTGCGGCTGACGAGAGAGGATGGCATGACGGGTTCCAGTCTCGATGGAACGTCTCGCTTCCTATGCCACGCTGCACTGTACACTACGTGCTCACAGGCACGCCATGTGGGTGGCATCCGGACCCGGGTAGCGGAAGCCGTTCCCCTTGTGTGCTTCGTTGCCTTTTCTGAGAACTCAAGATCGGAGAGGACAGGCTCTACGGCTTGCTGGGTGGACGGTGGACCTATGCGAGTGAGCCGGTGGGCCTGCCGTGACGAACGCGTGCTTACGAGCGTCGCTCTTGATATCAGGATGTGTCGTCACGCATTGATGAGGGGAACAGAGATCTCGGCTTGGGTTCATTGGCGGGGCGCCCTCTCGAGAAAGGTGTGAGCCCATCCATAGCCTCTACTCTGTCCTCCGTACCACACTATGGTAAGGTAAGCACCTCGTACTGTTAGTACCACGTTAGTGTAGACAAACGACTACCCGCGACTGACAGCCGTTGACGGAATTCTTCAAGGTGCGCCCTAGAAGCTTGATGAGAGGCCGACGCGTCCTTGGCCGGCTACCACTCGGCCACCAGGCATGCGGAGTGCGGCGTAGCTTCGACGCTTCGCTGCCCCTGGATTACCATTTCGGGAGGCTGGCCAAATGGGGCTAGTTTCCCGTTCCGCCCGCCTTTAGCGACCTCCCGAAAATTGCTGGTCGCCCGGTGCCGGACCCGCTCGGTCGGCGCTGTCTACGCCTCCCACGGATCTGAGTGGTTTTTCCCTTCAAGACTCTTTCAGGCTTCGATAGGCGCCTCTTGTTCCGTGTATTTTACCCGGGGGACTCCATGGTCTATTCGTGCGTGTCTTCTTACTGTAACCCGAGTCTCATTGCAAGGGGAACGACCTAAAACCCCGAGGGGCCTTGGCGGTTCGGGATGGACCACGGCGACGTATACCATCAACGGTAGGTATTACGGCCGGCTCTAGTGTCATCATCGCGTTCATTCAGGGTCCGCAGTGTCTGATGATTGATGCCTGCAGCCAATGGATCTGACTCGATCAGTGTTTCTATCGCAACAGGAGACATGCTTCTCATTTTTGGATCGATCATGGTGGACGCCGTCTGCCAGCCAGCCCGCCCCCGAGCTACCTTGGCGATCTGGTCCGACTCCGGGCCTCTCACCGAGGATCTTGTTAGAGCCTGCCCGGCCATGCTGTGACTAGAGCCGGGCGTTGGGCGTTGGGTGTCGTGGCGTAATCCACCATTGATTCGGTAGACCATACCTCGTAGGTCCAAGGGAAGTTGTCGGTCATCCGTTGCCGTTCCATTATCTGGTACCGACGTCACAGGTGAGCCGTGTATGTCTTCCTCTACTGCGATAACAGGATAGGAATTCTCATGCTGAAGTCGGTGCAACCAGCGAAACAATGCTGGTCATTGGCTTGCTCGCTTCAGAAAATTCTTCTTGTTGTCGGCAAGGGCTAGGCTCGTAGACCACGGTAGCTGTTACATTGAGCATGCATACAGCGGGGCTCTCGCGATGACAATGATTCGGCTTCAGGACCCGACGATGTGGTCAAGCCTCTTCCCCGAGTGGTCCGGATCCTCAACCTTTCCGGAAAGTGTCGATTCCCTAATTGAGATGGTGGTCCCTCTGGTATGCCGTACTCAAGAAGTTGTCGCAATTTCCTAAGGGGCTCTTTGTCTGAGACCGAAATAAAGCTGGTCGCTGGCGGGAGCAGAATTGAGTATTGCTGCTCAGCGCACCAATCCGATCCGGGCAACGGGTTTGTCGATGCGCAAGATATTCCAAACAACCTAGAGGTTGGCTGACGCCATGTCGTTTGCCATAACGATATGACGGAAATGACGAAAATTCGGCTTTGTCATTTGAATGTAAGCTAAGGTTGCGTTCGTTGTCTGGACCCAAAATCGCGGCCGAGCGACATATTTGCGGCACTTCCGCATTTCCGTATGTTCGAGAAGCTCTTCCGAAGGCTGTCACAACAAAACAGTGCCAACGCCAACGCCAAGCTAGGACCCCTACCCGTAGCTTCTGGTATTGGAAGGTCTTGTATTCAGCAGATGTGACAGGACAGCCTGCGCGCTATCGACTCTGAGGCACACTGTTGGGATTCTGAACGGTCAATCAAGATGGTGACTGCAATTCCTTGTCTAAGTGGTTTTCGACCCTGCAGCTGTGACGACTCAGATCGCGCCTCAACCTGGTTGCGAAGTTGACAATCCAGACGATTTGACAGCCCATAAGTTCAACTCGAGCCAATAGGATGGATGCCTTGAATCTCAGATATCTGACGGGTACAGTCGATCAAACCGCCTTCCACTTTGTGCAGATATTCCGGCGATGCGGCTTGCCGTACCGAACTACTGTGTACAATGCTGTTTCGAGACTACCAACTTTCATCCTCAGCCTGACACCCGGGTCATGGATGTAGGGCAGATAGAAATGACATGAGCCGTATACGCCGAACCAGTGACCGATGGGATTGATTTCGAAACCCTTCCTCTCCTTATCCGAACATCGATGTCATCGCTGGACTTGCGGAAATCCCTATTCGATAGTGCATTGAGGTTCATACTGAGTTAAACTTTGTCGGATGTCACCAGTCCGCGGCTACAGAGCCACTATAGTGCGCTGGTTCATCTAGTGCGCCGTCTGGTAGAGACTAATATCCGTAGATGAAGACACCTTCGTGACGCCCAGACACGCCAGGCTAGCTGAGCAGGGGTCTGCGATGGTGGTGGTGGTGATTGTGATTTGTGGTGGTGGAGGCGTGTTGCGGGGTGGTGTGCCAGGGGTAAAAGGTGTGGGTGGGACTGCTGCTGGGTGGTCGTCTTTGGCTGACCGAAATGGACATGTCTGTGCAAGAACAGGGGACCACCAACTCGAGGGGGTGGCATCAAGGGTCGCGGAGCTGCGGGAAGTCTCTCCTACCGCGCTGCGCAGTGTCGGCTGCACCCCTATGTCAGGCACATCATTCCGCGCTGCGAAAGACGTACGTCTGCGTAGCTCATGCAGAAGTCAGGATGGTTCAGAACCTGCAGTGACGGGCATTGAGCTGTAGGGCGCGCCGAGACACGAGTTGAAATTTGCTTTTTGCTCAACGGGTCCTAGGCTCGGAGGAAGCACTTAGGGCTTCTCAACCCGTCAATGAAGCACACAATCCAGCGACTTCAAGGCCATCCTTTCGCATCGGTCGATTGGAATGATTTCCAGGTTGTTGGGCCTCGTGATTGGCCGAGCCAAGCGAAGAGAAGCACAACCCCACCAGCTTTGCTCCAGCGCTGTGCTCCACGGTGACTGCCAATCGATCTGCAAAGCAGGGGCTCGTATGGGCAACGCAATGAGACACATTGGCCATTCATATCTTTCCGATCGCTTCGTGGGCGCTGAGAGGCTCAGGGACGGCACGCCCATATGAAGACTCGGCGGCGTATGCGCGCTGACGATTGATTCGGGTCACAAAATCGTTGACGACCATAACGATCATGGCCACCTTAACCTGGAGCTGTAGCGCTTCGTGATCCAGGTGGAGTGGGAGCTGAATGCCAAGCCTTGCCTTCCAGGCTGCTAGGAAGCAAACTTCGTCTTTGTGCGCGCACTTGGTCAATCTGCTCCGTAGATGGTCATCCATTCACGCTTCCAAAGTGATGGAACACCGGGATCTTGCCCCAGAGATCTCTTTTTGGCTGACAGGGCTCCGAACGCCATGGCAATTGACATGCCTTAGCATGGTTTCTTGAGATTGAAGGCGCCTGGCAAAATGAACGGTGGAGCCCCCTTTTCTGAGTGTGCTTGTTGGTCTTGGCCCTTAAAACATCGCAACCAACAACAACAAGGTCTTCGGAAGACTCGTTGCGGGCAATGGGCATGGCTGCTAGCATTTCTTCCCCGCGCGGAATCGCAAGACCGTCATTACACTCTTCGGATAGTTGGAGCTGGTTGGAAACTAAGACGGGTGTCCACAGAGGTACGTTGCTAGCGATCGTTGTCTTTCTTTTATGGTGGTCATTCGTCCTATGCTGCGTGCTAGCTGCTGAGTACAGAAGCCACCACGTTAGTCGCAGTTGGCACAATTGCGGCTTCGCTCTTGGGCATGCTTGAAGGTTGGAACAAGACTTCTGCGAGACAGTACGTGAAACCCCCCTTGCTTGTCTCCTCTGTGTCTCTCTCGATTTGGCACTTCTGCTTCTCTCACCGTTGAGAGAAGATCTAGACATGAGGTTCCTGCGGACAAGCAAGGGGAGCCGATGGTTTGCCTCCCTTTCAGCTGGACAAGCGACGCAACAGGCAAGGCATTGCTCAGCCCTAAAATCGGCTGGCTGCTTTTGCCCTCCCTCTGCTATGTAAGTACGTACGAGCCGTGGGTATCCGTACTCCGTACAGAGAATTCATAGAAGCGTTACAGCTTTGTAAGTCCAGGGGTGCCATGTCGGGCCTTTGACGTGGCCAAGGACTATATTGACAGACATTAAGAGGCGTTTTCTGCGAAGTGGTAGTAAAGTGCAACGTCCGGATTTGAATGTGGGCCAACGTGGCAAAGAGTCGTCAACACGTTGCGTTTATTCTTGGTCGCGGAATAGACCGATTCGACGAGGTACACAAACAGAAGAAGCGCACCTGGCGTCACTTCTGGTTCCTTTTGCTTTGGTAACTTGTCTGTGCACAGCGAGAGGCACGCACGTTCTCGGCACTTTGCCAGCAGCACCAGAAGGCTGGGATTTCAAAAAGCCGCTATTCAGCTGACTCGCGGGCACTAGCCACGCAGCTTTTAGCTATGGCTCAGCCGCCTTCGAAACGCTCGCTCGAGTACCAAACAATGGGAAATGGCTAAAGTGGTTTGTTCGGCTTGCTTCGATCCATCTCGTTGCTGGAGTATCGCAAAAGAGAATCGTAAAGTCAGGAAGCAAAGCTAAAGCGGTGAGAGATGCCGGGCAAAGCTGAAGCCGAGCCATGATTGTCACCGGGCTCTTCGTGATGGCAAGGGCTAAGGTGAGACATGCAGGCGCATTGCAACGAGGGAAACGTCAGTGAGAGACATTCGACTGGCAATGTCTCGCTCGCTGCCGTGCCGAGGGAGCGGTCGGTGATGGAGGTGAGGGATCTGAGTCAACTGACGGTCGGTGGTGCATCCGATACGCGCCACACCATGTGTACAGCGTAGACAGCGTCGATAGCTGGGCGTGTTATAAGCCCCAAGGCATGAACGGTTGGTAGAGGCTGAGGTGAGGTGGCATCGGCAGAGCACGGCACTGTTGGAGTTTGCTAGTGAAAGCCCTCGATTGGGTTGGCGGGAGGCCTTGAAAAGCCATGCGCGGCATGCTTTGTTTGAGTTTTCTGGGGATCGATTTGCCGAATGTTGTTCGACCAGACCAGACCAGACCAGAAATAAGATCTCCGTAAAGACGAAAGACTGCGGTATCCGTAGAACGAGAGGGTTGAATCGAGGTCAACTTTCAGATCGGGGTCGTTAGGTGGTCCAAGATTGGGTCACGCGGTTGGGGTTGAGTAGAGGCGGCGGCCGGCGCGCAGCGGCCACGGCGGCAAGAGAGCACATCACAGGGACCTAGCTGGATAGCTCGAATGATAGGCTCGACGCGTGAAGAGCATGAAAAACGGAAGCAGGGGAGTGCGAGGGGCTCGCAGTGATCTTTCCCAATTCAGCCGTCGAACTTTACCTTATGTCATGTCTGACACGGGACATGGGTGACGGGCAACTGCAGAGAAGATGTGACTCCTTCCATGCCTTCCTCACCAGCTTACCTTGGTTGCGTTATTATCAACACGGAAAGTCTTCGTACTCAACCTGGAAGGTACGGAGTATCCATCCTCAACCTGCCTTGGGCAACGCCACCGCCCACTATATGCCAACTTGGCAGGAACAGGATGGACAATTGTGGAAGGAGAGCTGAGCAGTCCAAGAAACGAAGAGTCATGGAAAGAGAGAGAGACAGAGAGAAAAGCCACCATGACAAGATGTTGGAAGGCAAATTGGACGGCATGGTGCCCATCAAACCAGGGGCAATTCGTGCTGTGCCCCCTTCGCGTGATGAAAGGCATTGATGAATGAGGGACTGCAGAAGCACATTTCAAGCCAACCGAGATATTGCATCTGGGTGATACTCCGTAAAGGTGCCCAGGAATGTTTTCAGCACACTTGTCGACACGGGTTGTGCGCATTGTGAGTGGTGAAATATTTAGCGGGACGCCGTGGACTGTGGACAGGTGCTGAACAACACCGGGAGAAAGATCCACTGAATACCCTCGTTGAGGCCTGTCTGCGGCCTTGACTGGTCTCTCTGCTGGTGGGGTTACTCGATGGGCATCCAGGATTTGGTCCGCCACGGAAGATGCAGCACCTTAACTGGAGCGAGGTGAGCAGCCACGCAGTACGGAGTACCTGAGCAGTCTGGAGGTGGAATTCCCGGCCACACGACAGCAGCCCGGCCAGGTCGAGAGTCCCCCGGCCGCCGATGTGGGTCTGTTAACAATGCCCCATCTTTTCTTCCCACGTTCACGCCCCCCTTTCGCAAGAGTGATTACGAAGTACACCCCTCCCCCCTCTTTCAGGCTTTCCTCCTCCTCCTCTTCCTCCATCTCCTGCGTCCGTCCCTCTGCTTATTGCACCAAGCGCTCCTCCTCTTCCAATTCCCCTCTCCTTTTGGTGCATCTTTTTTTCTTTTTTTTTTTTTCCCCTTCCCAGTCCCTGGTCGGCGGCCATCAAATCCACACCCTACCCCACCAGACTTCACCCTCCCTCCTAGCGTCCCTCGAATCCAACAACACAATGGAAGGCCATGAAAACCCTCCTCTCCTCTTGCTGTGCCTGTGCCTCTCTTCCATCCTGGGCCTGGTCCATCAATCCCTCAATTCCATTCTCACGCTAACCTCCACACCCCTGCCATGAAGACTGTCGCCTCCCCAATAGGGCATGCAGACGACGATGCATCGCCTCACGCGAAGCTCGCTGAGTTCCGTCCCACCGTCGCCGCCAGAGAGGGTCGTCGGGATTTTTCCTACAAGGACGCCCATCATCGTCACCTAGTCTATGTCCCTAATTGGCCCCTGTCCACGCCCAACTATACTGTACGAAGTAGCCTGCCCATGTCAGTCCCAGAGTTGGCCGACCCATCACACGCAAAATACCCGTTCCCGAGTCCTGCCTGGTCCGTGGAGTCGTGGTACCCCAGCATCTCTGGCCTGGACCCCGGGACCAGCGCCGCGACTGGTTGAACCTGATGGTACGGAGTACACTACGAAGTACACACCAGAGCGGCCGAGTGAAGGAGAGAGACAGACAGCCAGACACCACACACCCGCACGCCTCTGCAGAAAGTTGAGCGGACACTACCCAGTAGCCCACGCATCGATGTACATAATGATGTCCCACCCTCCTTCTTTTCACTCGAGGGTCCTCTTGATCGGTTCTGGGCTCCTTCGTCGTTGCTTCTGCTCACGTCTCTCCTTGATACCCCGAGTTGCTGTTGCTACGCTACCATCAACCGGCATCGCCCTGACCTGTCCTCCAATTACGGACCATGACGGTAGCGATATAGCCAGAGACGTCTCTGTCCCATGCTGCAAAATCTCGCCGACAACTTAGACGCCGCTCGCCCTACCTAGTTCGCCGGAACATATACGAATATCTGGGAATACGGTTCAAGTAAAGACAAGACTTGAACTTCAGCGGGACTGAGGACGTTACTTGGGGAAATTGTTCAAACTACACGCCATTTAGAGGGCATCCGACACCGAAAACAGCCGTCAGGACTACGATCATCACTGCTACGATATATCACTACGCTTGAGCACCATTGCTATACTGCGATACTCGTCCACGCATTGTCCAAAGTAGTATTGGCTACTGGAACAGGATCATCATCAAGCGGCTGCCCGACTCGACAACGAACGGAACTTTGAACGGCCGTACATATTTCAGTCGCCCGTCAGCTATAATTCGACCATGGCCAACGAATCTCTCGCAAGGGGAGGCTGTCCCATCCCATTCTACTCTGCGAGCTTGTTTCCAATCGACGAAGGGTGTAAGTTTGATGAGCTACGGCATGACCGGTCAAGTTGTTGACCTTTCACAGTTATCGAAGGCCGGCTATGCCAAAACTTGACCGCGACCTTACAGTGTTGCTTGCCCTGCCCGCTTACGGACTGGGTCTACCCGGATTACTTCAACACTCTGACAACGGCAGCCAACTGGGTCTGCGTCGCTAGCGCAGCATGCTGTCTCTTCCTCCTGATATCATGGGCTTTTCTGCCTGTTGATAAAACCTACAGACACTACCTCAGCATTTGCTTGACAATAGCTGTGTTCATCATGAACGTAAGTAGCCCGCCCTTCGAATAGGGACGAGGGAGACTGACCTCCCCTTCAGCTTGGCTTCGTCGTGCCACTTGCCGATCAACCGGAGCAATGCTACAACGACATCACACCGCACAGCATGAAGTCGAGCAAAGTCTGTGGTGCCTCTGGGGCCTTTCTCTTGCTCGGAGGCTGGGCCGGTGTCATGTGGGTCTTCTTGCGATCGTTGTCCCTGCATCTCCAGATTTGTTGGCAAGTTGTCGTGGGCCGCAACTTTATGATTTTTGCCCAAGCTACGGGCTGGGGCATCCCGCTTGTTG